AAGAGAATTTGAGGATTTACTATCCATTTCCTGTTCAACCGCTCAGTGCAACATGCACCTATTTAATATAAAATATTATAGTCTAATTTTTTTTTAAGCGAAATCAGGGCAGTGTACGTGGTGTAAATGGTTATTAGCTTAACGTCGCTGAACACAAAAGACACCCATTCAATTAATGAATTAAGTTGATTAGGTCAGTATCTCATTGTTTTCTATGCGTTCACGCGCTTTTTTTCCAGCTCGATAAATGTGACATGCGGCTTCGTACACTGAGAAGATGTTTATTCATGTATTGAATGTTATTTTTGGTAAATGGGGATTTTTGCAGCAGTTACGGCCCTCGATCGTAAATAACAAGTATTTATAATAATTTGTAAGGCCTTTGAGCAAGAGTAAGACAAGCCTTGTTATGTGTAAGAGGCAAGAGGCCACATTAGTTGATCGTTGCTTCACTGGTCACTGACTCTTTTTCCGCGAAGTTGAGATCGTTCTGCTCTACTTTCGGTTTTGTTGAAGTGGTTTAAAAATAGGCCTAATGGTTTGTTACTTTGGATAGCCCTTTTTATATTCGAATTTTTAATGTTTAGGACTATTTTGTTGTTGTTGTTAAGAATAATTGGTATTATAGAAACGTTTCTAGTTGAGAATGTGTGTTGACGAGAATTATTGTCATTCTTAGGCCCACATTAAGTTACTATAAATACCTGCAACTACTTCGCGGAATATTTTCGCAGGTCGCACAGTAAACAACTAATGGCTACGTTGAATTGATTGCACCGATACCAGAAAAGTGGGTTGGGTCGTGTGCTCTCCCCCGTCTCTCTCTGCAACAGATGATCGTGTGCTTTGCGAGTTAGTTATTAGAGTGATCGTTAGGGAACTTCCACGTAGCCTTGTTGAACAAAACAAAGAGCAAAAATGTCTGGACGAGGAGGAAAGAAAAAGCAGAAGGTGCTCTCCCGTTCGGCCAGAGCTGGAGTTTTATTTCCAGTTGCCCGAATGTTGCGTTACCTGAAAAGAGACACACACCACCTTCGGATTGGAGCCGGTTCTCCAGTGTATATGGCCGCAGTCATCGAATACCTAGTCGGTTCGTTGTGTGTTTGAGGATGCGTGACGAAAATGCCCCTTATCCCATTAACATAATTTGCAGTTTTGCATTCTTTTTCTGTAAATGATATTTGTGCAATGTCCATTTGAGAGATATTCCTTAATTAGAGCTTGTAATCAGTGCAATGTTTTGGGGAAGCATGAGGTCAGTCTGGGTATCTGGGGGCACAAGTCAAAACAAGCCCTGATCTAGGCCTACATGGTGGACTCGAAATGTCCATTTTTGACATGCTCGCAGATATGTCACCATAACCTTCCTACTAATCTAGATTCATGCAAAGCAAACTGAAAAGGCACTGAAAATGCAGACTGATTTTCTGTTTGGTTGACCCAGGCCAGCGATACCTAGATCTAGATCTAGATCTAGTAATTTTTATTTAGACTTCCCTCTGATACTGTGTGTTTTATATTTTATTGATCTTGTGCAGTGGAGAAGTTGTAAACTTAAAATCTTTCAAAGGACTAAATCTAACAAATCAAACAGGTTGACATAGAATGTTGCCTTTTGGACCTGACTTCATACTTATTCACATTCAAGTCTGTAGAATGAATATTGAGGAATGCTTGTGGTAAGTCTGCTCTTTGACGCCTAGGAATTATTGGATAGCCTAAATTCAACTTGTCGTTATGTCAATTATGTTGATATCCAACTTCATGTAACCTTTAAAATTTTCTTGCAGCTGAGATTTTGGAGCTGGCTGGTAATGCAGCTCATGAGTTCAAAAGAGGTAGAATCACTCCAAGACATATCCTCCTTGCTGTCGCTAATGATGAAGAACTGCACCAGGTTCGTAGTATTGTAATCAAATCCACTTTTAAGTAGTTTTGTATAGATGTAGCCTTTATAGTCACAGTTGGAATCTGTCAATGGTTAGAACTAACTTATTTAGGCCCAGTCCTTCGGCCTAGTGTCCTCGACAATCACCTTGACGTGTTGGCAGCAAGTAATGATCGAGTATAAAAGAAGTTTTTATTTGCAGCATAATTAATGAAACTGGTCATGCAAACCACTGATCTGAGAAGGAAAAGTTACAATGTCATGTCTTTGTTTAAGTATTGGTAAGACTCGAAACACTTCTGCAGTCAAAATATTTTCTTTGTTATTGTGATCCAGAAATATTTTATTTTGAAAGTTGCATTTTGATACATGATACATTCAGCTATAACAAAAAGTCCTGATGAAAATTTGTGTGACTTGCAGATTAAAGAGTATGTTATTTTGATTTTAAGACCATAATCATTATGTGCTTTTTTTTCTCCTGGCAAACAGCTTTTAAAGAATGTCACAATAGCACAAGGCGGAGTGGTACCAAAGATTCATGCCATTCTCATAGGACAGAGAGGAAAGAAGGGAGTCGCAGGGTCTGCAGCACCTTCTTCCAATGCAACAGCTTCATCGTCCATTTCATCTCCGTCCAAGCTGATGTCAGCTCGTAAGACAGCAGCTAAGAAGACAGGGAAAGTGATGCCAAATGCCACTCCTGCTAGTTCTTCAAAGTTACCTGCGCCTTTACCATTTAAAGGAAAACCCAAAAAGGTGAATATTTCGTGGCATTGTGCGTGTGGAATTTAATAAGGGGGGCTTGGATTTCCCATAAAGCTCTTCCTTATAGTCGGGGTTACTGTTTCAGGAGTCTGGCATAGTTTTTGCAGGCTTATATTAATTTTCGGTTCTGTTCGTGGGTCATTATAAATACAATTACACTTCCAATCGTTCGGGACATGAGAAGAAATTCTGCTTTTTTAACTTAAAATTAAAAACACTTTTCAATGTAATGTGTAATGCTCTTGAGGTCAACAATGTTACATCATGATCAATTTGGTCAGAAGCTGTGATATACAAGTTATTAATACATTGCTAAATTTTGGTATTATTAATGACTGGTCATAATGTGGGGCCGCCGTCAGGCAGGAATATCTACATAGATGATAAAATGTTCAATTTCTGCACCTTTATAATTCTCTTAACACATTGTATATTGATACTCTTTGAGAGCTTCGAATATGACATAACATAACGTATTCAGTGCAATCCTATTTCAATAAATTTTACGAAAGCTATATTAAATTTACATGTAACATCATCATGATCTTTTTGTGCACAAGTGAAAATGTAATAACATATTGCTGGCGTACAGTTTTCATGAGTTCTGTGTTTGCTATGTCCAAGTTGCTATGTCCAAGTCAGTCACAGAGTTGTGTAATGTTTCGGTTGTCATTGTTGTTTGTAGTGAATGTGTGTGTCTCAACATTTTGTTTACAGGCCGACTCAATACCGGATGGAAGTGGAGGCTTCTTAACTCTGTCTGAAAAAAAATTGTTTTTGGGCCAGAAGGTGAGTTCTCAAATTCCCACTCTCTTTCTTGGAACATTCTCTAAAAGTCCCCAAAAGTTAATATTTAAGATTTTTTTTTTTAATGAGGACTTTTTTTATCTTTTGGACAGTCTGTTTCAAGTTTGTGTGTTTGTGATGTTTTTATTTATTGAGTTCAATTCTCAGAGATTCATCAACTCTGTCTCATTTTTTCAGTGTATCTATGCTATTGTAGATGTTATGTAGGACTAGTGGAGAAGAAATTTCTTTTGTGGGTGGTTGGCGGGTGTTCAGGTGTGGTTTGCTTCTTTTCTCCTATCAAACATCTGTCTCCTTATCTCTCCTCCTTTTTTGTGTTTGTTACCTCTTGTAACCCCTCTAATCTTCGCCACTTTTATGACCTTTTATGACCTAATTGTGTTGCAAGTGCCGTAAAACACTTACTAAAACAAAAAATAAAAAAAAGAAATTTTTGTTGCTAGTCGTTTGCTTTGGTGAAGGTTTTATTCATTTGAGTTTATTTAAATGTTTGCCTTCATTATACTGTGGAGTTTCAAAGTAGTATATTTTTCCTTCTTAGTTGACAGTTATGCAAGGCGACCTGGTGAAAACTGTGGCAGATGCCATTGTCCACCCTACAAATTCTACTTATCACATGGGTGGGGAAGTTGGTAAGTATTGTGATATAATTCTTTGCAAAGTGTAAATGAAGTAAGAAAACATTTCACTTTGATATATGCCTTGCAATGATTTAACTTTATAATGCAGAGAGGGTCTACTGTATCGATGGGGAAAAAGGTAACAGCTATTGTGAACTTTGTTAACTTATCAAGCACTAACATGTTATTATATAGGTACGGAAGTGGGTGAGTACAGCTTTTTTTTCCTGCTCTATGTAGATATGGCAGTTTGTACAAAAGCCTTTTTTGTTATGTAAGCTATGTCATGCAGTGTTCAGATCTGCCTCTCAATGATGATGAAGTTCATCTACCTGAATGTCCGCATAATTATTAGCTTGACCTAGAAAGTTTAGACACATTTCCGTCATGCCAGGTCAGCGTAATTTTTACTAAGTTTTGTTTTTTCAAGATATTTGAGTTTATTCTCTGGGTTTCCCATTAATTATTGTAGTTACGTGAATATTTTGCTTTTTTTTGGTTTGTTTTGATTTGAATATCAGAATGAAATGTTAAAAGACACATGTATTTTTTCATCTCATGTCGTAGGCCAAGCTATTCAACGCGCGGGTGGCAAAGAGTTTCAGCAGGAAGTTGACAGTCTGCTCAAAACACAAGGTTCCATCAACACAGCAGAAGGTAGGACCCTAGAGTAGAGTTTCTGTCCAGAGATGTCTTGTTCTGGTAAATTACTCACAGTAGGGGGAGAGATAGAAGGAAGAAAGTACTATGAGGTGATCAGTTCCTGATGCATACTTCTGACTAACTTGTACAGTTGAAATTATGGAAGATGGCAACCCGCTGTCGAGGAGAAAAGCGTTTGTATTAGACAGTTGGACATCTTGGACAGTGTCCTAATACTTTTAAGAAGCGCAAGACGGGAAGTAACTGTTTGTACAGGCGGTTGTCTTGGACAGGTGGCCGTGAGAGCAGGTTTTGACTGTATGTGCACAGCTTCAGTCCTTGGGATTATTTTAACGCACTCGTGAGAAATACTTGTTGTGTCTTTCTCTTTGTTTTGTTTAAAAAGATTATTGTGACTTTAATTTCTTTACTGCTAACTACTCTATGGTAGGCAGTTCTTTTGATTTTTTCTGTGGTGTGGGAGAAAGAGAAATATGAAATGTAAGGCCCCAAAGCTCAGAAAATTCCTGGCCTTGTTCCACGGATGAATGCAAAACAAAATAAAGCGTGGTATACAAAATATTTATGTTTTGTCTGTTCGATAAACTTGCTGTCTTTTGCTTGAGGGAAGGGAGTAGGGGAAGTTTTGTTACATGTTTATGATTTTATTTCATGAATGATATTTGAGTATTTAAAGCTTTTCCCCCATGTAATTATATTGGAACGAATTGGTTAGTTGTAATATTTGAGCAAACAATTTTACTTTCTCATACTAGTTCTTAAATAACAGTTTAGAATTATTGTTCCCACATTTTCTGTCATGGGCACTAAGTATGTTAAGCATTTTTAAATGACTTTTTTATAGCCCCCATCAACACAGTTTGGATCATTTTAGAGGTGGCTTTTACCCTGCCTGTCAAGGCCAACTCTGTCTGAGAGGCATACGACATCCTTGCAGAAAGACCAAGATAAAAATTCTCCCAACTCGGGAATCAAACTCCAGTCTCCTGTGGGCGACAAGGAAAAGCCTAGTCGCTATACTGCAGACACTGGTAGAAAATGTTTATCAGTGCTCATTCTTAGTCTATAGTCTTATAAAAAAAACCTCCTGCTGTATTGAGAGATGAAAAGTCATCCATGGGCTCCCCCTTAGATGCTACTTAGGGTTGCAAGAGAAGAGAGAGGATGTTCTTCAGAAAGTTTTGTGTTCGTTGGTTGAGACAGTTGTGTGGTCTCTTTGTCTACTAACAATGACAGGAACTGAAAGGTGTTGGCAACATTTTTTCAGCTGTTATCTGCCCTGGGCACAAGTTCACAGCAAAGTTTGTGATCCACGTTAACAGTCCAACCTGGAGTGAATCGAATGCGCAGCAAAATTTGGACAAGGCAGTGAAAAATGTGCTGAAGGTAGCAGATGACAAGCAGCTGAAATCTGTTGCCTTGCCTTCCATCAGTAGTGGGAAGTAAGTTACTCACCTGTTTGTTATAACCTTTAGACAAGGAAATGACCCAGAGTGAATCTGTCTGTTGCATGTGACTGTTGAATGCCTTTTTCCCTAATGTTATTCAAGTGGAACTTTTCTACGTTTTTTCAGAACTATAATGCTTATTGGAATAATGTTAAAAGTAAGTCACAGGCAGAAAATCGTCACAAGCAGTCACAGAAGAAGTCTTCGGCCATTACCTTTTGTTTTTGAAGTATTAGCTTTAAAATGTTTCCTTACCTGCCCCATCCATCTCTTTTTCCCTGACTTTCACCCCCCCCCCCCCCCCCTTTTCCAACAAACCAAAAACTTGTCCCTACTTTGACACCCCCACCCCTTGTGGCCCCTTTTTTTTTTGGCCGAACCGAAAAATTAAATCCAAAAATATATCCCTATTTCAACCCCCCCATTCCTCCTTTGGAACCAACCACAAAACTTTACCACCCTTGCTGCCCGTCCAACATTCCCCCCCCCCCCCCCCCCCTCCTCTGTGCCCCACTATTCTCTGACTGACAAATGGACAGCCACCATCTGCCCAGCTCACAACATAGCAGCCAAGTTTGTCATCAACTGCAATGGACCAACATGGAAGCTTGATAACGCACAGCAGTTGCTGGACACTTCCATCAAAAATTGTTTAAAACTGGCCGATACGAAGGCTCTGAAAAGCGTGGCTATACCTTCTTTGGGAAGCGGTCGGTAAGCTGGTTGTATATCTCTGCTCTCTGTTTTCATTAGAATACTATGCGGGTGGTTGGAGGACACCACTGGTAGGTCCTACATCTTTTCTTTCTCTCTGTTATTTCTGTCTGTCTGTCTTACTTTTTTCTCAGCACTAAATGACCATTATTGCGTCAGTGTGCTTCTCTTTATTCAAACAAACAAACAATTAAAATTCTATTAGGCTTTTAGTTTAGTTTTAGTAAGAGTTTTACAGCGCTCGCAACTGTATAAGGTCTGTATGAGCGCGCTATTATGCTTTATTGAGATCCAGTGGGAGAGCGTCAGTCAGAGGGCAGCAAATCATGTGTAAAAGGCTTACTGAATTGTTAATGCTTAAGCAAAGAGAGAAGCCTTCAGTCTGCCCACATGCACTCAACCACAAGTGGAAGTGAAGCTTTTAAATGCTCAAAATGTTGCAAACTCTTCTTTGCCAGAAGTAGTCTCATTGGCCCTAGCAGAGGCCACAAATCATCTTGATACTCTTTTCTTCTATTTCTCTTTAAGAAATATTCTCCACTGCAGATACATTGATCATTGTCAGACATTGATGGCCAAACTGTTCTCATCACTGTTGTTATATTATTATTATTATAATAATAATTATTATTGTTATTATAATCATTATTATTGTTACTATTTTTGTTGTTTTCAATTATTATATTTAAAAGTTAATGTACCAAGGTGAAGGCATTATTATTCATCTTTGGGGAAATTTGGGTTGAAGTGATGCACTCACTCTTTCTAAGCCCGTACTGTCACACCATTATTCACAATACAAAACAAACTGATGAGTTCAAATGCTATGATGCCTTTGTTGGTTACCACAGTGCAGCACCCTGTGTTTGGCTTGGATGAACTTGTCTTACTCTTATTCTATGATGACATATGCAATGGCAATCTGTCTAAAAGCCGATAAACCAGCACTGCTTGGCTGTCTCTGAATCTGCATTTGCTTACTGAGTTACTTTTGCAGTTCTGTGGATGCCTCAGAAATTTTTTTCGCCTTTTTTTCTAAAAATATGAAATGCAAGTTGAAAGCCTGTGGTGAATGTAGGCAGAGTAACTTGTATACAAGTGAGAATGTAAATGATGTGTTTGAACCATTGTGCTTTATTATAATGTCTGTGTGTGTGTGTGCCCACGCGCGCGTGCAAATATGTATTTACAATGCCTTCTCAAATTTCTTTTCGACGAGAATAATAAAAGGTATTATCTTATTTTATCTCGCTTTTAAGTAATTTAATTGTTTTCGTCTGGTCTTGTCCCCCACGTTCACAGTGCCGGCTTCCCCAAGCAAACTGCAGCCCAGATCATCCTCGCCTCCATCCGCGACTACTTCTCCAATGCAAAGACCAGCTCCCTGAAGCAGATCTTCTTTGTCCTCTACGATGCTGAGAGTGTCAATGTCTACACCACAGAACTCGCCCGCCTGGATGGATGAAAATAAAACCATGAAGCTTAGACTGAGGGACATCAGTTCTTGTTGGTTTTTTTGATTATCCAGTTTTCTGTATCATTTTTGTGTCTGTTGTTTCCATACAACTCCTTATTTCTTCACCAAATGGGTACCTGTGTGACCTACAGTCCAATCCCCGCCCCCCCCCCCCACCCCCCACTTCATTTTAGTTTTAGAACGTCGATCCCCCTAAAGTGGTTTTGATATTGGAGTATATGAATTACAAATGATCTGTAGTAGTTTTGTGTAAGACGTTTGCATGTTTCTTTTGTAATTTTATGAGGGTAAGAACTATTGGTGATTTTTAAAACTTAAAAAAAAAAAATGATATGAGTAGTACGTAACCCTGACACACTCTATAGCTTTTATTGCTTTGCATGTCCTTTCTCTGTTTGTATATTTTATTTTTTGGGTCTTTTTTGTTGATTTTGTTTTTAGCGCTTGTGTTTTTTTAGTTCTTGTTATTGAATATATGATGGAATGAGGAATGTCGTATGGTCTTGCAGAGAGATTTCTGGTGGCGGTTCTTTTTCAGATGAATTCCTAAATCAGTTCTTGTTGAAAGAAAAAAAAGTCAACGCAAAGTCGGAAACTTCAGACAGATTTTGTCCAGCTTGGCTTGTTGAGTTGGCTGCAAAGAGGAAGCGCTAACAAATGTTTGAGTTGTTTTCAGATTGCGGATCTCTCCCCTTACTTAAAGTATCTATGCAAGAGCCTATCTGCAGAGCATGATTAAACCATTTTGCTTTACTGGGCCTACAGCATTGGTGGCTTTGACCGTCACGGAGTTGCAGCAAATGTATTTGAGCTCTGTATGTGTCACAACGAGGTGGAATCAGGCACTCGTCAATTTTTGGGAATGTGGAGTTATTGATATCATCTGAAAGCTTATTCATTTGCGTTGTTTTCAATGAAAGAAATATCCTTCTAGCTTGAATAGAAGTCGAGATTATATTTGTGCTTGAAGGAGCTGGGTAGCTTGGTTTCAGTGGTAAAATTAATTAGAAAATGGCTGCCAAAGTTTGGTAACTTCAATAGCTTAAGAGTCTTTGAAAACTGAATATTACAAATTTTTTTCCCAAAACAACATTTTTTAGTAAAATTTACGTGGAAATGTGTTTTCATGTGAGCATGAAAGGTTCTTAGCCAAAAAAACAAACAAAATTCGATCAAAATTGATAATAACCATGCTGGTCATCAGCTTTTCTCACTACGTGCTGGAGCATTGGCCACCAACGAGAGCTTTCTCCGTCTACTTCTGTCCTGGGCTATAAGTCTCCATTTTTGGTCAGCTGCTCTGTATTCTCACCTCATTTATGTCGGAATGTAAGTCGCTCCTCCTCTGAGTACTTTAAGACTTTTGTTTTTTCTCATTCCTTGTGATAATTATCGCATTATGCGGAAATTGTCCAGGTTCAAGTGAGTTAATTTTGGGTTGCGATGAATGAAAGGAAGAGTTTTTTTTGTAAGTTTCCTTCTCTCATTCTAAGTCTTGTATGCATTCAAACTTGCGGAAGGCATTTGATATAGCCAAGTAAAAGAGAAGACCTTTTGCACAATTTTTGTTGTACAGTGCTTAGGTAAAAAATTATAAAGGTTACTTTTTGGGAAAAGTAACAGACAAAAAGGAAAATAAATTTAGGATATTCCAGCAGAATCTGCTTGCTGCTTCGTAGTAATGAAGAGTAAACATAGTAGTACAAAAGGTTTTAGCTGTTTTAACTGTGATACGAATAACGGTCCAGTTTATGGGGCGTGGCTGTGGAAGTATGACTTCGCTGTGTTACAGTGGGGTCATCTGGTGTGATCTGAGAAACTGGTGTAGAGTTCTGCATTTGCTGTTGTCTACTTTTGAGTGTTCTTTGGTTTTGTGAGTGTACCAGGAAATTTGCTGAAGTAACTGCTAAATATCTGAGCCTGAGAGCCTGGCTTGTGTGGATGCTGCTATTAATACCTTAGTTGTCTCACTAGTGGCTTGAGGTAACTAGGGTTGTTGTTTTTTTTCCTTCTCGTTTCTTCTTTTTTTTTCAAATGACCTGTCAAACATGACTCTGTGGATACTTTTGTGTTATCTGTATTGTTTATGTTGTTAAAAATTCTTTCTTGTGTAGTTTTTTTTATATATATATTTTTTTATTAGAGCTGTGTTTTTGCTTTAAAAGAAGGTGTGTGTTCAGGCTTGAAAATCAGACCAATAGTTTTCTGTGTGTGTACCTGAAGTGGTGTTTTCACACACCCCTCCGTGTAATAAGTACTGTTGTAGGAGAATGTTAACATATAAGTGATTTTTTTATCACCACCACTGCTCTTATCGTTATCAATGGCATCTGTGTAGTTTCCCGGTTTGTTAAAGAGATACGTACGTACATGTATTTATACTATAGGCAGCATTAGGTTCTGTCCTCATGATTCAGTTGAGCGAGGTCCAATCACCACCCAGTTCGTACATTGCACATCCATCATCATTTGTTAATATATTCATTATTATAATCTGTCACTCATGTCAGAATTTTTTCTCTCATCTGAAAGACACTTTTACTCATAATTGTCATAAAATTCTGCTGGGTTTTGTTTAAAAGACTGGGATTGTTTTATTCAAATAAATTAAACCTTTAACTTTAACAAACACCACCATGTTATAATGAGTTATGCTATAACTAACGAAATCGGGTCTCTTTATTTTTGGGGGATGACAACATCTTGTGAAAGAACAAGTTCTCTTTTGCTGCAAGTTTTGTGAAATAGCTTTTATGTAATTTGCAAAGTTTTAGAGCCGGGCTTTATAATTTACTTTTTGTTCCTACTTTTGATGCACTCTGTAGCTTTTGAAATACATGCATCTGAAGGAAAAAAATACTGTAATTCGTGACACTTTCTTTCTTCATGCTGACGATATTGTATTCTATTTGAGTACTTGTTTTCTGCCGTTTTTCTTAACCTCTTGTTGCTTCCTGTATTTTAGAAACCATTGTACTCAGAATGTGTTTTTTTCATTTTTTGAATGTCGAGTCCATCTTTACAGTGCCATTGTTTCTATTCTTTCTAGCATCTTATCAGAATGTTTGTCATTGTACAAACTGAGCAAGTGTATCTCATATTTGCAAACTTCAGTCACTTTGATGTCTGAACGCAGCATTGTTCCACCTGTTGCTTTATACTTGAGTAAATATGGCTGTGTTTGTTAAAGAGATTTTATCATCGTTTTATGCTAATCAAGAACTCACGGTGATTTTGTGTTAAAAGGATTCATGTGGGAATTTTTTTTTTTTTGTTTTTTGTGTCATACTTTGGCTGATATACTTTGATGAAAAGTGAGCTGTGATTATTGAGCTACTACTAGTTCAATGGTACCTGTACCTTTAACCTGCCACGGTTTAAAAAAAAAAAATGGTACATAAGCTGTATTATGTAAATCTTTTACTCCCAAGTCATTGTGATGTTGAGTAGTGGTGAAAGTCATCATTAACTGGTGGTAGTGATATGAAAGTATATTTTCCCAGTTGAGAAAAAAAAAGATCAGACATACTGCATGGCTCAAGTGAACATGATGAACTTTTGTTTTGTCTGTTGTTGGTTTTTGTTGTTTTTTTAAATTGTATTTTCTTCCTTATACCAGTGTGATGTTAAAAGTCTGGAATGGAATGACAGATACAAGTATGTCCACAAATACGTTTATATCATCGCTGTGTGAAAGACCAATTATTAACAACTGTTCTCTCTAGATTATCACTTGTCATAACATTTTATGGACATTTACACCCTGCATTCTTTGCCGTTTTCTTAATTACAAATTTTTTTTGGTCTAGATTTGATATGGCGTTTTGGAAATTTTCTGACCGCAGAACAAGAGCTAAAGAATATCAGTGTCGACGGGGTCCAGTTTGGATTTTAAAACTAAAATTCACTCAGTTGTACCAACTAGGGCTGCTTTAGAGTGCTCTGCCTTATGTATCTTAAGTTAAAGAGGGGGGGGGGGGGGGAGATACATCATATATGTATCTGTGTGTTTGGTACCATTGTGAAGTCTTACAATAGAAAGGTGCGTACCCTAGCTCTAATGTTATATAATCCATTTTAATATTTAAAAAAAGACGGAAAAGAAAAAGTACATTGAAAAGTAAAATTGACTCACTTGTACTCTTGTACTTCTTGTAGACTATTTTGCTTTTATAACTCTCACTGAATTGCGAGTTGGGTTGTTTTTCGTAACTGTAAAAATTCCCAGTTTGCTTTTAAAATCGAAACATGCATCACTCTCTGTAAAAACTGCTTTAAGGTAAGTTAAAAAGAACGTATGTGCAATGTGAGAAAAGATTGCTGAAGTTGCAATAAATACAAGTAACTTATTTAACCTGTGTTATATCGTTCTCTCATCATATTCAAGTCAGTGACACTGACAGTATTTTGGATGGGAAATAACCCAAGTCAACTGTAAAACAGCATAGCACTTACTTGAGTTTGATGTTTTGTATAAAAATCATTATAAAAAGTTAAGCACGATGAGCATAGGAGTGCCTCTTTTTTATTAAAAAAAAAAAAAGAATGTTTCTTCCGTCACAAACAACAGAAGTGAAGAGTCTATTTGAAAACAGCCTTTTTTGTTCAATTCAGTAATGACTTGGAAGGAAATTGGAGTAAGCTGATATTTTTGGAAAGTGCAGTGGACTCTGCTTAAACCGAAATCTGCAGTTCCGCAGGATTTTCTTCAGTTTAGCCCAGTTTTCAGTTAAGAGACATTGCTCAAATAGCGAAGAAAACAATTAGGGGGTTCTGTTTTCTTTCGGTTTATCGCTCTTTACAGATTAACCGTGTTCAGTTTAAGCGGATGCCACTGTAAATATCGGTGGCTTTGGAAAGGGCTGTTTTTGTAGTACTCACTCGTGGTAGCATGGGCGTCTTTTACAAGGCTTGGGCACTGATAAGAAATGTTTTGTTAAAATCCAAATTCTAAATGTTTTAGAAAGGGGGAAAAAACCAACATAATGTATGTAGGTACGCATGTTAAAAGAATGACACAGTTTTTCCTCTCTTCTATAAAATTTTGCTTTCTGGGCTTAGAACTGATGAATAGTTTGTTGAAGATATTTACTATCGGTATTTGTCAACACATTAACACGCTACATTCATCAAAAGTACAGGAAAATTACTTAAAGACTTCATGTTGAATACTGACTTAGCAAACACAACAGTACTGTAACTTGTAGTCACAAAATTTGCCTTGGTAAATTTGTTCGTCTCACGTTTTGGGAAGCAGTCTTATAAATTAAAATGTTGGCACTTTTTGTTTTTGCTATTTCATTTCAGACGTCTTTCATTTCCATTTCCAATTTATCATTTCATGTAGCTCATTTACTAGACTTATTTGTCTTGGTGATGCGTGTGTAGGAATCACTTTTAATTGGGATTCCAGTGATACTGTGCTAATTGTTTTGGGCTGTGTCATTTGCTTACCATAATAAAACAAATCCTTTTGTTCATACATTGACTTTGTTGTTCAATAGTTTGGGAATTTTTTTAAGATTGCGGGTAATTTAGTTTTCTATATGTTGTTGTTTTCAAATCCCTTTAGCTGCGCGCATTTCGCTCTTGGCAGCGCAATGCCTCCCTCAAGTAACCACATGTCCTTGTCATCTGGTCCACGCCAGAGTAGAGCAGGCTTTGTAAGTCTGTAGGTGTGTGTAGGAGTCTGCGTCGAAGAACTGCCAGGTGTGGGCAGTGAAGGAGAAGATGTTCAACATTCTTCTCGTGGTAGTCACAGTGTCTGCAATGGGGTTGTTTTCAATATAAAATAATATATGAACTACAGTACAGACTGATCTTTGATATGAGTTCAAGACTTGATTTACAAGAAATAAAAGATTAGTCTTTCATTTAAATATTCACTTCCTGCGGTTACTTTTCAAACAGTCTTCTGAATCAGTGTTTATAATATAATTATTTTAGATCAAGTTTTAAAAAGTTATGATACTTTCTATGCGAGAATTTGAAGCTTGAAGGCGTATTTTTCAAGTGGCTATGCTTTGTATCATCACTGACGATATTGGATCTAGAACCTGAGTCCATTATTTCCAAATCAAGATTCTTAATCAGATCCCGCTACAGTTGATCTGCTGTTTCTGCTTTTTTGGCATGGCGAGTCAGATAGAAGAAGTAAAAGTAAAGTTGTTCCTGCATCCAATCCGGACATTAGGGATTGCCTTGTTAGTGAGACAACTTCCTGGGCCTTTGGCATATATCTGTCCGCGTGGTTTTATGCACCCTGCATAATTTAGCAAAATTTGATCATTTTTTGCATAATTTCTGATTATTTTCCTTTAAATTTATCATTCTTTGTTAAAATTAACAGAATCGCAAAATTTCACTTTTTTGGGCTCAGTTTGCATAATTTCAGAATTTTTCTTGCATAAAATGACGGGGACAGATATATTGTGGTAGGGTGGCCAGTTCCTTTCCACGCCGCCCTTACTTCCCCAACTCAAAGTCAGGTACCCATTACTGCAATAGTTGTAGTAGATCCCAAATATTATTGTCGGTGACATAAAACTCTTAGCAAATTCTGATGAACAGCTCAGATTTAATTCTGGCTGTTCCGGAAAAGCCAGAAAATTCATTCTGGCTGATATGGGGCTCTCATGGTCTGGAGTTACAATACCCACCTCTCATTCAAAAGGTCCAGGTTCAAAACCTGACAGTGACAAACATTTTCTTCTCTAAAATTTTCTCCTTTCACCCGCTTTCCTGTTCTCTAGTCTCTTTCTTCTGCTTTCATCTTCACTTTGTCACCCACCCCGGGCCTCTGAGCTCCTCTCTCTGTTACTGCTAACTCTTTCTACTGCTACTCCTGGCTTCTTCTTACTGCTGTCTTTCAGCCACACCCCTGATCTTAGGGTAAGTAAGATCAAACATCTAGCCTTCTCGGATAAGGGCAAAAAATCTTGGAGGTCTCTGGTGCAAGTTGCACACATCTTGTGTAAGATCCCTTGATGGTCCTAAAATCAATAAGAATAGGCTATGGCCACCACATGAGCAAAATTCAAAACGAATTCCCATGAAAACTGAAAATACTCTTGTCAATATAAAAACAGAGAGTACATTTGAAATCAGAAAGTTGCTGCTTGAGGGCAAGGGACACTACATCTGTGATATATATATATGCAGAAACACTGAATGTCAAATACATCCTGAGTTTTTTAAGCCTTTTTAATCATCATGAAAGTAACTTTTTTTCCAACAGATACGTTTCATTCAATTAGCACATCATCATTATAATATAACAAATCTGTGTTACAATCACATTACACATTAACGTCAGTAAAACAATCTCTGTCATAATATAATTATATATATATAAAATTCAATTTAAATAACATCTACATAGCAAGAAGCTAGGCAAAATATTATAAAAGAACAATTCATTGGGGCCTTTATAATCAGGTGGGAAAACAAAAACTACTCTGATCTTAAGAAAAGCACAATACAAGCAACACTTTAAAAGAATTACATAAAAGACTTGTGGAGCAATTTCACCCCAGAGATCAGACTTTGCCAATCCTAAAACCTTTTACTTTTATAACAAAACTTCACAAAGGGAATGGAATAACACATACATAAAGCCCCCCCCGGGCGGTGCCACAGACTGAAGTGTCTTTAGGCCATTCCCAAAGGGGGAACATTTCTCGTTCTTATGCATAGTAAAATTGTAAATGAACTAAATGGGCTGATCCAACAATATCACGCTCATAACTGTGCCTGAACTACAGGGAACTGCTGCTTTTTCTTTCCTAATCCTTACTATCACCATTTTCCTCTTCTTCTTTTGTATGTTTGTCACACTCTTGCGACTCGATATTTCTGGGGTGCCTTGAAAGTCAAAACAGACTTTCTGGTGTTAAAGCTAGAGAGGTGAGCAGAGTAAGCCCGATTCCCTGTAAAGACTTCTCTGTTGACATCCACCCCTTGGCGCTCATATGACCTTATGCAGTTGCGAGCACAGTAAAACCTCTACTAAATAATACAAAAAAATAATCCAGAGGTCAGACTTTGCCAAACCTAAAACCTTTTATGGCACGACCTCTGCCAATTCTCTGAGCCTACGAGAAACCTAATCTATAAATAAGCAAAACTTCACAAGAGGAATAACTCATACATAAAGCTGCCAACCAGGGCGTAAAAACAACGTATTGAATATGCTTTTGAGGGTGCGGGTATGGAAGTCCGTTTTCGTATCGGAAAATATGTCCGGAAAATATGTCTTTCGATTTCTAACATTGCTCCTTACTGACCTGCCCATGCTGAAGAAAAATTATGAACTTTCAAGAGCTGATTAGTGAATAATATACTGTTAATGAAGCTCATAAGTCAATTATTTAGTTTTTGGTCTTAGAGTTTTACGGCACTTGCAACACAATAAGGTCACATAAGTGCCTAAGACCAGAGGTGTTGCAAGAGAGTAACAAACTTAAAAAAGAAGGAGGGGAGACAAACACGATAGACATTTGATAGGAAAGAAGAAGCAAACCACACCAGAGCACCCGCCAACCACCCATATAAGTCAATTATGGAGATCTTTTGGCGCTGGTCTACTTTGAAAAGATTGATTTATTGAATGCAGAGAAGCGTGTGTGAAGGGTTTGGAAGGGGGTTTCTTGGCCAGTGCCCACTATCTTGACCCCACACAGGAGTAGAGTCTTTTTTTAAATTTTTTATTTTGGCAAGTGGGCAGCTATGCTAGCATTATCAGCAACAAGGGTTTGAACCAATGGCTGCTGGGAAAACAACCACAACATTTAACACTTTGCTTCCTCATCCCGCCGATTGGCGATGATTACCACCCAGTTTCTTAGGATTTTCCCCAAAGTATGATGTCAAAGTGTTAAGAAGAAAAACGATCACACTTCATAAGAAGTGTCTCTTTGAAACTTAAAACTATTTGAAGCGCATAAAATGAACTTTTGAGATTTGCCACATCATATATGCTGACACTGACAGAAGTCTATACTTGGTCATAATCTCCTGCTAGCAAAGTCAACAACAAAACTAAAAGAACAAAAGTCAGTAGTATATGAAATTAAACTTTGCAGTAACATCAAATTGACACACGTGCAACAGGTCACTCGTCTCAAAATGAACTGTGCCCCAGGAAGCACGAGCAAAATTCACACACCATGAGAACTCAAACCTCAATCATTCTTCTCTCACAACTGGGTCAAAAGTGTAATCAACAGTGGCACAGCGGTGAGATCCAAGTTGGACACGAAATTTTATTTAAAAAATTTTTTTTTATAGTAGAGGGTTTTACGGCCCTCGCAACTGCATAAGGTCATATGAGCGCCAAGGGGTGGGTGTCAACAGAGAAGTCTTTACAGGGAATCAGACTTAGACTGCTCACCTCTCTAGCTTCAACACACAAGGTCTGCTTCGACTATCAAGGCACCCCAAAATAGCAGGTCACAAGGGAGTGACAAACATACAAAAGAAGTAGAGGAAAAAAATGACAATAGTAAGGATTAGGAAAGAAAAAGCAGCAGTTCCCTGTTGTAGTTGTAGACCAGGCACAGTTATTATGAGCGTGGCATGAAGAATCAGCCCATTTACAATTCTACTGTGCTTAAACGAGAAATGTCCCCCTTTGGGAATGGCCTAAAGACACTTCATAAAAAAAGACAATACAATCATTGTGGTAAAGAGAAAAACACAGCACTGTGCTGGAAGGACAACTGACAAATATATGTGAGGCGTGCTGACAAGATGAGTTACTTCTCGGAATTCTGCCTAATGGAAATTGATGCATCAACTTTTTTGGTGAAGTTTGTACAATTGGTACGTATGGAATACTAAAAGACACGGTAAACCTGAAGAAATTGGCATCAATTGAAATACATCTATTACTAATCTGACTCCAGTGTTGATTTTGGGCTGATCCATTCTTGGACTGCGAGAAGTGACTCATTTTGTCAGCATGCCTCACATACCATGTAAATATTTAGTTTCCAGAGTACGACACTGCCGAGTCTATACATCACGACCTCAGTGCTTTCTTGTCATATCTCCATTTTTTTTTGACAAGGAAAATGTGACATCTTCTAAAGCTCACTCTTAGTTATGAAATGTTTTCACTGTTATTAAAAATGGAGATATGACAAGAAAGCACAGAGGTCACGACATGTAGCTCACAACTGGGTCAAAAGTGTGATCAGCAGTGGCACAGCGATGAGATCCATGTTGGGCAAGAAAGACGTAATGGTACAACAATACAATCATTGTGATAACATGAAACACAGCACTGTACTTGCAGAGACAACTGACAGTTAGTTTTAGTAGAGGTTTTACGGCGCTCGCAAGTGCATAAGGTCATATAAGCGCCAGAAGATTAGAGGTGTTACAGCGCAACTGCATAAGGTCATATGAGCGCCAGAAGATTAGAGGTGTTACAAAAGAGTAACAAACATAAAAAAGAAGAGGTTAAGGGGAGATAAGGACGATAAATGTTTGATAGGAAAGAAGAAGCAACCCACACCAGAGCACCCGCCAACCACCCACGACAACAGACAAATGTATCATGTAAATGTTGGGTTTCCAGAGTACGACACTGCCGAGTCTATACATCGTGACCTCAGGGCTTTCTTGTCATATCTCCATTTTTTTAACAAGGAAAACGTGACATCTTCTTAAGCTCACTCTTTTTTATGAACTGTTTTCACTGTTATTCAAAAAAGGAGATACGACAAGAAAGCACGGAGGTCACGACATGTAGCTAAGTTTAACCAAAGATAGTATACTATAAGATGAGTTACTTGGTTAGTCAACTGTCTGAGAGAGATATGACAGGACATCAGTTCTCAACAGATTCGCTATTTTATTGTAAGAGTAAGGGCAAAGACTGTACTAAAAGGGCCCTTATTTGAGAAACCAAACAAAATATCTTCCTCAACTGGCTATATTATTGCCTATTGCGGAGAACATTTTTTTTTTACAAGATTGACCCATCGCACAGTCCACAATCTTTGGCTTAATAATGGCGTAACATTCATGTCTTCTGTGCAGCAAGCAATCCAACTAAGAAGATCATTTTGGTACTTTTTAAACCAGAGAGACAAAAGAACTAGATTTCTAGTTTTTGTTGTGTTGTTCCTATCAGGAATACTTAAAAGAAAGACCGTTATAAGCCTTGACCATAGCATTAAACTGCATTTTGGTGATGTTGAAAGGTGCACCTTTGATAGAGCGTAGGGAAAGCATAAAAATCAAAATTTCTCTAAATTTGGACTTAGGCGGATTGTTTGCGGCAGCAACGATGTCCACTTTGAGTTATGCAAGAATCACATAAAATCGCTGGGAGTAATAGAACACATTTATCCAGTTGCACCATCCTGGATCGATAATAACAACATCAAGTTGTACCTGGAATAAACACAGTTGTTGGGAACAGACTTGAAGTATGACACAGTCCAAGTGTTGGGAGAGAAGTGGGGGGCACAGTCCCAAGGCAACATTTTCACAAATAAATAACATCCACGCCATTATGCTTAACACATCCCACGGGAACATTTCTTATGTGCCCTGCTTATACAGTCAGGCACTGATAACTCAAACACGTTAAGGATTAATAAATGTGTTTGACACGTTAATAATTCGAATTACTTGATAACGAAAAATTAAACAGATATCAGACGGGGAATGGAAAATTGTACGAGCTACCCGTGATTTCAGGTTTTCCATGTTCATCTTATCTGTGTCTGACCATACATATATAAATTTATACACTGGCATCCTTGCAACTCATTCTTCTTCTTCACCAGTATACATTACACCATCGCTTTCAAACATAAGCGTGAAATCAGGCAGTGTTTCGAATAGGTTCTCACATACACAAACATCACACACCAGAGAACCATAAAATAATTTGTCGCTCACAAGGATATGTTATTCCCAAACTTATTACCCAGCTGCACCTCTGGGTGTAAACCAGTTATGGCAAGGAAATATTCATTCACTTTCCCGATTTCCAAAGACACTTGAATATTTATTTTCTGGTGCACAGTATATTTTTCAAAAGACAAAGCATGGAACATGTCAATACAAAGACAGAACTATGCCCATTGAAAAATAAATATGAAAGATACACATCCAGAATCAGATATTCAATTTTTTGTTACAAAGTTACATCTTATGGTAATGCGTATTGTTGGCCTCATGACTTAGCAATAGCAATAGTGAGTAGACCAGCAGTGCACCAGAGTCTGGACGAAACAAATTAACCTTATCTGTCTCAGGTGGTATCTGAAAAGAAGCAACAAACCCCCCCCCAACATTCTTTACTCTCATCTATCATCTATGAGCAGAAGAAGCCAAGATGTGTGTTCTGTACTGCACACTGAGGCCCGTCATCCAAAACTTGAGCAGCTGTTTGTCCTCATCCCGAGCACCGACAATCTGGAGGAAACAGAAAGAAAAGATAAGAAACCACAATCTTGCTTTAATTTCATTTTTTTTTCTTCTTTTCCTTCACATTTCCGTTGAAATTTAATTACCATCTTGAAACTTTTCATTCTTAGACTGCGAGGAAGTGTTCCAACAAAGGAGAGAAAAACGAAATTAGAACCTCAGACTTAAATAGGTTGCCCATGTTGTAAATTACCTGTGTCATGACTACTTTTGGCAGAGAAGAGTTTGCCAAATTTTGAGCATTTAAAAAGCTTCACTTTCACTTACAGAGATGTGAACAGCATTCAGGTTTTTCTCTTAGCTTCTCCACTTCTCATTCATTAGACTTCAAGTGATTTGCTGCCCTCTATGATTGCTGTGAGAAACTAGGTTCTTCCATGTCATGAGATTACTGTTGCACACCTTCAGAAATATTTTCAGAGTAAAACAATAGGGGCTTACAAGACCTACATACCTGCAGCAATTTCCTAGTATCTTCCTCAGATCTGTTTCCCCCTGCTTTCGTGAACTTGAAGAGCACTTTGACTTTGCTGGCGATAGAGAAAAACACATGCAGCTACAGAATAACTCTTCAATGGAAAAATAACATCTGTATTTAATCTTATTACCAGAAAGCTCTCTTAATAGCAGGCATGGACAAGCAGGTCCAAGTCAAGGGGCGTATGAAGTAATTCCAAATATCTTGCAAACAAAGCAAGAGAAAACGGTTTGAAATTGGTTGAACCAAACCTTTCAAAAGTGAGACTAAAACTGACACTAATACTAATACAAGATTGAGTCCCTCAAGGGCATTTTGTGAGGTAAAATATTTGATCTATCGCTTCCATGCGGGTTGGAAATTAATAACTTTACTTTTCACGACGGACAGTTTTGTTTTCATTACTTATCAACTCACAGCAGGACACGTTCATTATTAGCTATTGGGTCGACTCACGGGCCAGACTAAAACTGCTTACAGGTCGGATCTCGCCCAAGGACCCTAGTTACTCCATGCTTGCCTTAAAGTTTTCTCTGGAAATGCAGTAATTTGATTTCTTATGCCCATCTGAAACAATGAGCAAAATAACCCACCTTTTAAAAAAACAACCCAAAAAACAATCCCCCCGCCAAACCAATTTTTTTTTTAATTAAAAAAATTTTAAAATATAAAAAAACAGGAGGCTGCTTTCAGTTAAATATCCTTCATTTTTTAAGTTTAAAAAAAAACAACACCTCTAAAACCCCCACCTGTTTCATCACAATATCAAATCCCCAGTCACATGTAAAGAACTTACTTCATCCATTCTTCCTTCAGGCACGTAATGGCTGTTTCCACAACTTCAGGACACAAGTTCTCATTTTGCAAAGCCATCATCATCTTCTCAAGAACTGTTGGAACTGAAGAGTGAAATTATGGGGGAAAAAATAGAGCTACATTTTAATACATCCATCAAACTTTAGAATAATTCTGAAACATTTTTTTTGCAGTACTCTTGTAGAACATTGGTCAAATGTATTAAGCCCAGAAAGCAACATTTTTCATGAGACAGAAGAGACTTTTATGCTTTTGACATAACTGTGCCTACTTAAGTTTGCTCAAGACATCAAACAAAAGGAACTATAGAAAAAAATTACCCAATGCATCCCATGTCTCATTTCTTTAAAAAAAAAAAAGTTTAGTTAATTAAGAAAGCAGGCTTCCACCTCGCCTGTTGGGGCCAACCTGGGCTGAGAGGGATACAACGTCCCAGCAGAAAGACCAAGATACTCAATAAAAAATTTTAAACACTCCGGAATCAAATTCCTGTCTCCTGGCTGCAAAAAAGCACCTCAAAGCTACGCTACAGACACTGGTACATCTCACTTCTATTGCAACCATTTGATTTCTCCGAGTCATACTTGGTCCGTACATATCAAACACAAGAATATATACTTTTCCATTTGAAGAGAAAATTCTGTTCCGACATCATATTGTCCAGCTAGAACACGCAGGAATATTTTTTTTAAAAAATACAATCACATTCAAACTCACCTTTAGCAGGCAAGGATACTGGGCTGCTCATTCTAAACTCGTAATTTCTGAGCAAGCAATCCTCCGATGAAGCTTCACTAGCGTCCGACTCAGGGCCGCTCAGGCTGCTGGGGTCCATGGAAATCGGTCCCTCTTCCTCCGGCGCAGGAGAGCGCTTGATAATCTCCACCAAGTAGAACATTTCTGATGAGGTCACATGCTGGGACAGCGACACGTCCGGGCTCAAGCCCAGAAAATTGCACTTCCAGGACTCTTCGTACTCTTTGCTGTAAGGGGTGACTCGACAACAGCCTTTTGGAAGTAAGCTCTGAAATGGAAAAAAGAGACATGCAATATGTGTCGTGGTGCAATGGAATCAGGCGCTTGTCAATTTTTAGCATATGGAGTCATTGGTATTCTCTTAAAGCCTGTTTATTTGCCTTGCTTTTGGTGAAAAAAATATCCATTTATCTTGAATAGAATTCGAGATATTTGCGATGTAAGGAGGTGGGGGTCACCTGGTTTCAAAGGTAAAATCAGCAAGAAAATGGCCACCATAGTTAAGTGAATTCCATAACTTGAGAGTCCTTGGAAACTGAAAACTCACATTATTTTTGTGCCTTTAATCAACGTTTTTCAGTATAATCCACACAGAAATGTGTTTTTTAATGGACATAAAAGGTGTTGAGCCAAAAAAAGAAAATTCAAACAAAAGTTGCCCAACGGCCAGAAAATACCAGTTTCTTTGATTTCATTATTTTGACAAGTGCTTGATTGTCTTGTACAGGAGGCTGTTAGAGCAAGTTCACTGCATAGTCAAACATTAAACTTTTATGCAAATTTCTTCACAGACGTACTTGGATGAGTGGTGTGTGTGTGTGTGTGTGTGTGTGCATGCATGTATGTATACATGTTAGCTCCATAAGGTCTATACATTATACACTACTATTTAGACATAATTAAATTTTTTGATTACTTTCTCCTGTAAGTGATCTAAGATGTACGAAATAGGTTCATGAGAGATGGTTCATTCTAAGAAAGCTCAAGCAGTTCAAGTACAAGAATAATGTCCACATTAGACAATTGATAAAACTACAAATTTCTTTTCCATACACTTGACTGGAAACACGACAAACACCCAATACTGATTTGTCTGTTCTTTTTTCTATTTAGAAAATTAGATCAAAACAACAATATGTTCACATAGGCCACCGAAAATATTGTCTGAATGTCAAGGCTTTTTCTGAAGGCTGAGAATATATTTTGGCATATTTAGACCATTTTATACCATACTGATATGCCATTGGAATGACATGTTGGATCAGTTTGATTTTGGCTTAAGCCTCACTTACTGCATTATCATATCATGTTGACAAAAGGCTATTTCCGGAAAAGGCTAGATAATGGATGGTAATTTAAAAAACAAACAAACGATAAAAAAAAAAAGGAAGGTATGTACCTTCAACTGACATTCATGACTAATTTTGAAAAAGGAGCAAAAACAGTCTGTGACAATCTGGGTGAGAGTAAAGTTTCACAATATTATATGTCTTGCAAATCTCCATCTCCCTTTAAAGAAAAAAAAAAGAAAAAAAAGAAAAAGATTCAAATCTGAGTATGCAATCAAAATAGAGAGTAGAGCACTGTGGAGTAACATGGCATTCATAAAATGCAAACAATAGAAGCCAAATTTCAAACTAAGCTGCTGCTGCTTCACTTCAAAATCCCTCTACAGAAAGTGTCTTCCAGAGCAATGTCCCATATTATAACAGTGCTCTGAAATGAAGGACGAACATTTTGCAAGTTCAATAAAAAAATCACATCATGCGTAGCATAATGCGTGTCCTACAAGAACTGTACCTTCAGCGCGGTGAGGAACGACTTGACTAGAGGTCGCTGTCTGCCGCTGACGATGACCTGATTCCCAACCACGACATGATGAGCCAGTTCCAGGAACTTAGAGCTGCCCACCACCTGTAGCAGACACAAGTGATCAAAAGTCTCAGGGTGGTCCCTAAAACAGTCATACATCTGATTCAAACTCCAGATATTGTAGCCCCCCCGCCAGGGCAGTACACACTGACTGAAGATGTCTTTAGGCCATTCCCAAAGGGGGGATATTAACATGTTCTTAAGCATGGTAGAATTGTAAATGGGTTGATTTATCAATGGCATGCTCATACTGTGCTGTAACAACATAGGGGGAAATGCTGCTTTTACTTTCCTCATCCTTACAATCGTAATTTTTCCTCTACTTCTTTTGTATATTATTTGTCACTCTCTTGTGAACTTCTATTTCCGGGGTGCCTTGATATGTCAAAGCAGACTTTGTACTGTTGAGGCTGGAGAGGTGAGAAGAATAAGCCTGATTCCTCGTTTAGACTTCACTGTAGATATCCACCCCTTGGTGCTCATATGACCGAATGCATTTGCGAGCGTCGTAAAACCTTACTAAAACTAAACTAAGATATTGTAGTGATAAAAGTTGCAAGCATCCAAAGAATATTACATGTTTTAATTCTGGGAATCGAAGAGTAAACACAGAATGTGCCATCCAAGTCAGGGAGCAGTGAGTGGAATGTGTGGAGCGTGTTACCTATTTTAGTTTTAGTAGAGGTTTAACGGCGCTCGCAACTGCATAAGGTCATAAGAGCGCCGAGGGGTGGATGTCAACAGAGAAGTCCTTACACAGAATCAGACTTACTCTGCTCACCTCTCTAGCTTTAACAGCACTAAAGTCTGCTTCAACTATCAAGGCACCCCGGAAATAGTGGTTCACAAGAGTGTGACAAACATACAAAAGAAGTAAAGGAAAAATGACAATAGTAAGGATTAGGAAACAAAAAGCAGCCGTTCCCTGTTGTAGTTCAGGCACAGTTGTGAGCATGACATTGATGAATCAGCCCATTTACAATTCTACTGTGCATGAACGAGAAATATCCCCCCTTTGAGAATGGCCTAAGGACACTTCAGTCAGTCGTGTTACCTATGGGGTTTACAGAGACTGATATCACATGCAGACGGTCATCTATAAAAAGAGGCTTTACTATTAATATCTTTTTTGAGGGGTAAAAGTAATGATAATTAAGCATTTAATTTCTATAGTGCCCACTTACATACAATACAGCTCTCAGCGCTCTACAATACATTTATCTTAACACAAAACATATGTGTGCATGAACATGCATACATACCTTCTTTAGATTATTAACACAAACACATAAGCAGACATTTTTTATACTATCACAGCACAGTCGATGATTATATTCACATTACACTGATAGTATAACCATTGTAAAGAAGAAAGAGTGACATTCTCTGATCTAATTCATCATAAACTTGGACCGTCCACATGGTATTATGCACCCTGCAAATTTAGCAAAATTTGATTATTTTTTGCATAATTTCTTATTATGTTCCTTTATCATTCTTTGTTAAAATTAACAGAATTGCATAATTTCACATTTTTGGGCTCAGTTTGCATAATTTAAGAATTTTTCATGCATAAAACGACGGGGACAGCTTGGAGAATATCAGAATCCAAATATGCATACACAAATTTAAAAAAGCACACAAGTTCCATGTCACAAGCAAGTTTTTTGTTCGTTTTGTTGAGAACGAGGAAGAAGAAGAAGTTCATTTTGTTTTAGTAAGTGTTTTACAGCATTTGCAACATAATAAGGTTGTAGTATATGTGCTGAAGAGTGGAGGTGTTACAATAAAGTGACAAACACAAAAAAGAAGGAGGAGAGAAAAGGGCCACAGACGTTCAATAGAAAAGAAGGAGCAAACCACATCAGAACAACTGCCAACCACCCGCTTACCTTTTTCAAGTGGCGGAGATTTTTAATGACAGGTGCAAAGAGATCTTCATTCTCTTCATCTCCATTATTTTGAGCTTCAGTAGAACTATCTACAGAAGCCTCTGCTCCAACAGGCGAGTTTTCAGGGCTTTCATCCACTTTCCGGGTGTAGATTTTTATAAATCCCTCCTCCGTTTCTGAGCAAATAAAACAAAAGACATTCAAAACCCAACACCATCACATAAACTAGACTTCACAGTCTTTCTTCACACTTAATACTATGGTATATGAAGAACATAAAACACCCCTTGGGAGTAGAACAAATTAGTTTTAGTAAAGGTTTTACAGCGCTTGCAACTGCATAAAAGGTCATAAGAGCGCCAGAAGATTAGAGCTGTTACAAGAGGGTAACAAACATAAAAAAGAAGAAGGGGGAGATAAGGACGATAGATGTTTGATAGGAAAGAAGAAGCAAACAACACCAGAGCACCCGCCAAACACCCACAAACAAATTAAATGCATTAAACATTAACAAAGCAGAAATAGGATGCTGTCCATACAGACCTGGGAAAATATATGTTCTCAGCAGTTTGTACATGGTATACCAGTCATATCAAATAAATAATTACCAGGGTCTGTGGAGTTGTGGTTAGGCGCTTCGCCATCACATACAGAAGACTCGAGCTCAATTCCCATGTGGAGAGAATCTTTATTGAGTATCTCGGTCTTTTGGCGGGGACTTTGTATCCCTCTGAGCCCAGGTTGGCCCAGAGAGGCTGGGTCCAATCTCGCCTCCAAGAATATCTAACTTGTGTCAATGAGTCGTAAAATTATCTACTAGTACATAAAAGAAATTTTTTTTTTAATGAATGATTAGCAATATCACCAAAATCAAGATTCCAGTTTGACATTTCTTAATTTCTCTGACCTTCTTGTTTTTCCATGTCAATAATTGTGTCCTCTGTGGGAGGGCCTTCAAGCAGTGTCTCCGAGATGCGGTTTCCACAGGCCTTCAGGATCCACAAGAAAGCAACGTGCAACATGCGGAAAACGTTCTTGTCACCAGTAAGTTCCTGTAAGGATCTAGCTGGCTTGTTCCCCCCACGCTGCTTGATGAAGTTAGAAGGATCAACTCTTGCTCCGAGTCTGTAGGGCCGCTGTGGGCACTTGGCTTCTTCTTGATCATAAATCTTTTGAGCCTTTGAAAAAACGATACAAAATATGTAGATTTCACTATTATTCCCACTCTACCGAGAATGGACCATTACCCACCAAACCTTAAGATTGAATTGGCGAAGAAAGAGAAAGAGAAAGAAAGGAAGGCCTAAAAATATTTGAAGGAGGGACACTTAGATTCAGACGTAAAGGAGATGGGATGCAGCTGGACAGAGGTGGAGACAATAGCTCAGGACAGAAGTACATAGAGAGCTCTTGTTAGTAGCCTATACTCTAGCACGGGGTGAGAAATAATGCAGATGATGATGATTCCCAATTCACCAATTCTATTTTCCTGTTCAATACAATCAATCATAAACATTAATTTGACATAAGATGTAATGTGTATGGAAAAGAAAACTCAAAGAATGACCAAACATATTGTCGTCAGGTGCAAAGAGGAATAAATGAACTATGTTTCATTTTAAAAGACCCTGTCAACCAAATATATGAATTTACAGCATAATGAAAGATTGTCAATGACACATTGAGCATTTTCTCATGATGAAAACTTGGTAATAAAAAATATAAATAACATGCATTGCTAAGAGACTAAAAGCCACAGCTATAAAAAAAAAACAGCAACAGTTTTTTGATGATTCAAAAATATAAAAGTGTTAAACTGACCTTATTCTGAAGGTTTTCAATTACAATCCTAAGGTGGGGCACTAAGAAAGGCCACGAGTTGAGGAGATAAATTTTGTCCATCATAACCACTAAAATGGAAAATGATCGGTGCATCCCTCGGGCTTGGTTGTCCGGGATGGAGAAAGTGTAGCTGAGGACATAGCCATACTGCTTGTCTCCATAGAATATGGGACCAACACGACCAGGACAAACCTGGAAGAACAAATTACAAACAAATTTACAAATGTCTTCTTTGATGGGATATACAGTCGAACCTGCCCTGACGGTCACCTCTATAAGACAGCCACCTGTACAAACGGCCACTTTCCATTTCCCCCCTTGCGTTTTTTCTATATAATTTAACTGTGTAAAACGGGCACTTGTCCAACGCGGCCGCGGCCACAATAATTTAACACACAACCCCTATAATACTAAGCAGTAATACCTGTCTAAGACGGTCACCTTAGTGACTCCATTACGTTTTGTCATAAATTGTGCATTGGCCCCTGGCGTTGTGGGCGAGCCGTCATAATTCAATCACCTGTCGTTGTTGTTAGGTAGTCCCTCCAACCGATCATGTTGTGTAGGCCCCTCCCACTGTTGACCAATAGCTACCAATTTTCAGCTGCTGGTGAGGTAAGCGTGTGATCCCTCATAACCCATAAGCCCCGCCCAGAACTCATACACAAATCGTAAGTGAGATGAGTGGTCACTGTTTACCCAGTCTGTAACAAAGTAACAAAGGACGTCAACATGAACTTGTGAAAGAAGCGTCGCTCGTTCTCCGAGTGGTGGCGACCCGTGTGTTAGCTTTAGCATGGCACTCGGTCTTCCTTTTCTGATACATTTCGTTTTATTGTCACCCTTGTACAAAATCAGCGAAAAAATAAAAATTACAAACGAAATACAAACCAACAACAACAACACCAACAAAGACAACATAATGGGGCTTCTTTCGATTGGGGCCTCAGATGGGAATGGTTTGTTTTCTTTATCTTGATCAGTCCTGCCTAAGACGGCCACCTGTCTTATACGGCCACTTTTCTCCTTGACAATGGATGGCTGTCTTACACAGGTTTGACTGTATTTGTGACCGCAAGAAAAAATACATTTTATAGCAGCTACAGTAAACAAATTCCATTAAAAAATTACAATGGTCTATCTATCCAGCCATGAGGATAAAATTTGTTAACTGTGAACTGTCAAATAAGGGTGGGGGTGGGAAGTTGCTTGTGCTTGGGTTATTGTCTTGGACAAGTGGTTTCTGAAGCAAGATTGACAGTGTATTTACTTTTGTTTAATTTACAAATTTTAAAAAAGTACATTGACCCTCTGCTGAATCTATTTTTAGTTCTATGAACCTCAAACAAAACTTTCTTCTTTCCTGGGTGAATAGATGGTAAACACACCAGTTTTAAGAGGCATCAGGAAATAAGACTACACAACATGAACTACCTGCACCCTTTCTGATCACCACACCATAATTTTGTTTAGCTAGTTGCTCTTTTACCTGGAAACCACTTATCATATCTAAAACTTCATTTTAAACGGCAAATTGTGTATTTTACATCAACTTTTAAAATATTATTTTGCTCTACATTAACACTTAAATTATTACCGCATGTTACTTTAACATTTAAACTGCTATTCACTTCACCTCAATGATTAAACTTTACTTTACCTCAACACTTAAACTACGAATGCATGCTTGTCTGATCCGAGTGAACACCTCAGGGTTGTATGGCTGCTGGGTGCTGACGTAGCTCACTTGTGCATCTTCGTCATGGCTCACATATCCAGTGTGGACAGACTTACATCCCTGATGGAAAGGACAACAAAAGTATATGAAACTGAACAAAAGCTTAGTTGGGAATATATTTATGAGAAAAATTTTATGAGTGTATTTCATACAACATTTTGAAACAGTAACACCCATTCAAAGGTAAGAAAGCAAGAACTAATCTTCAGATGCTATTAGAGGCTGCAAGCTCTGGTAAAGAATACGTAATTATGTTAGCCCCGTTAGAGAATAATAATAATATAAACCATATGGATACAGCCGTTACACTGAAGACTCATGATCCCAGACTGTTGGAATTAACAATAACTACTCTGATCAGGTATAGTGATTTTTTTAAAATGACCGAGTTACCATTTTTATATATAATTAGTTCTGTCATAGGCCTACACAGCCTTAAAAAAAACAAAATTGAATAGACCGTATCACAAGGTGTTTTTTTTTCCTGGAAGAGTTCTTTCACAACCTTTTTACGTCTTATCATACAAGTCTAATATAAAATTTAGTACAGAGAGCTTACTTGGATTGTCCGCTAGGTTTACATCATTGCTCCACGTCCACAGGAAAATAAAGAATCAGCCCACACTCTGGCTTGTCCCGAATCTCATAAAAGTAACGCCCGTAAAAATAATAAGGTAGTATCACACTAAATTTAAACTGCCATAATTTTTGTGGCAGAACACACGTACGGCCACTAAAACCCTTGCAAATCATTTGTTTTCAAGTAAATATCAATCCTAACTGCCAAAACATCAAATCATTGAGAAATTCGGGAAACCCTCGATGTTGTTAAACTAAACAACAAGTCAAATATCTATGCCACTCTGGTCCTAGTTCTGTTTTCAAACATCATTATAACTCAGTAACTATTGATTTGCTGCAAAAATGAAGGCCATATATTCGTGTTCAGCATGCAAAATACTGTACTAAAAAAATATTGAGTTTACTTGAGACGGGTGCATGAGTAAAAAAATACCCACTAAATGTATAAACATTCTGCTTCGGAAGAGGCTAGCCGTACTTAATGACGGCTAGACTGGCAGTCTAGCCGTACTTTTTCTTAATATGATGGCTAGACTCACCATTTACAAAAAATAGGCCTACTGAATTGTAAATATACATATTTTTAGTCCTAAAGTATTTGTATTTGAGACGAAACCAGGTGCCTTAATGACAGTGCATGTATTTTAAACCTCCTGTTTTCTAATGTTAATAGGGCCTAAGATAAGTACGGGTAGACAGCCAGGCTAGCCGTACTTAAGGACGGCTAGACTGTCAGTCTAGCCGTACTTAATATTGATGGCTGAATTGTAAATGAAATTTTTAGTTTGCAATGCCTAAAGTATTTGTATTTCAGACAAAACCAAAAGGTGCCTTACTGACTTGCATGTATTTGAACCTGAATAATTACTAGATCTAGATCTGAGACCTGTGTACTTAACAGGCTTGAGTCGATAGGGCCAAACCTAGATCTACGTGTACGGTTAGACTCTCACTCTCAGTCTAGCCGTACTTAAGTACGGCTAGCCACTTCGTTCTGCTTCGGTCTTTCAATTGAGCGTTCAGTGAGTCAGACTGGCTATCTGTTCATGGTGGCAACTGAAATCGAATGACACTTATGCCCAATTTACAATTATAATTTAATACCAGCAACGGAATGGAATGAAAAATAAAATAGGCTGAACAGTAGCCTACTTTATAAAAGCCTTGACTAGATAAAAAAAACTCACTTCACAATGATCCTTTGCACTCAAAATTAAAGATGAAGCAACATGTGAATCTGAGATGGAGCTTGGACCAATGGAAGTTGACTTCAGTCTGTGGGAGATGCTGACTTCTGCCTCATCTCCTTCTACTTGCTTCGATTCCTGAGGCCGAAAAGGCTGAGTGCAGTACAGAATCCTTGGTCCATGAAACTCACAAAAGTGACACAGAGAGATTATAGCATTCATCTTGCTCGAAAAAATGTATTAGAACAGTTCGTCTCTACACTCAACTGGCTAGTTGCACGACAGTTGTTGTAGTCAGCAGACACCACACTTAGTCTGACTTAGGACTTAGCACTGTGCAGGGGAACATATAATTTAAAGAAAAATTCCACTTCCAGACAATCCAGAATTTGACATCGTGTTGCTGTGCCACTGACTGATGAAGACTGAAGATTTATAAACCGATGAACTGATGAACAAAAAAGGCAGCTACTGATTTTTTCAAAAGTAGCCACCACCAACAAATATCTAATCTAGATATCTAGATCTAGACTAGTCTAGATTCTAGATCTAGATCTAGATCTAGATCTAGATCTAGATCTAGATCTAGATCAAGATTCTAGAGATCTAGGCTAAAGTTTGAGGAGTCCAATCGACAAATTAAACCTTGACTTATTTAATAAGTTATTAGGACTTATTAATCTAATAACTTAAATATAGATCTAGATCTAGATTTCTAGATCTAGATCTAGATTCTAGATCTATATGCAAAGTCGACAAAACCTTTTCAAGTCAGCAGTGAGTCACTGAGCAAGTAGAATTCATGTAGCCTGTAGCCTAGATAAGTAAAAGTAGAGCTTCAAATCAAGAGTCTAGATCTAGATTCTAGATCTAGATTTTCTAGATGATCTCTGAACGTCAATATTATTTGGAATATCCATTCCTGTTACACATACACAAAAGTCCTTATTGTGTACAGAAATCTGCCACAATTCCAGCAGCGAACAAGATGTGTGATGATCATGTGACAGCCCCACTAAGTCCAGTCATTGCAACCCATGTCTTCAACACAATAAAAATAACTTCTTTGTTTACGGAAGTGTGTCCAGATAAGGAAGCACCGGGAAGCACCGTCTAAAGGAAGCCTAGACAGGGCCTAATTTATCACTCGTCTCTAACGGGACTTGATTTTTTTCTTTTTACTTTAAGTATAGATCTCTGTGATTTTTGCTAGGAGAGACAAATACAGGCTTTTAGTTCGGTAAGTGAGTTTGACTTTATTGTAACAATACGCTGAATTTTGTTTTCCGGCAATATTATATTATTTATTGGTTCAGAGAGTCTTCTAGCTTAGAATTCCGGGAATGAGCTTCGGGAAATCCCAAACAGTGTAGACCTCTTGCTTGGTAATTTGTTTCGTGTTTTTTCTCAGGAACTCTTCAGGATGCAAATCTCGATTTAGGCCTAGCTTGGCACGGTCATTACACATTATAGTAGGCTAGAGGCCTGGCACCTATGCCCATCCGAAGTTTAGGCCGAGATTATAATAACGTACAAAAAGACATAGAATCTTGATCTAGAATCTATATCTATCCAAGAGATCCAAATCTAAGTGTTACTAGATAAAGATCTAGATCTAGATTCTAGATCTGTTGTGGGCCTAAATTCCAGCTGTTGCGCGCACAAGGAAGGAGTACGAAATCTCTCTAGATCTACACACTAACTGTCATTTTCATCATTTTTGTGAGTAAGAGGTTTGAAGTTGTTGGTTTGAGTTGTTGATTTTATTTTTATTTTTACCTCTAAACTAGACTATATTGTAGATCTAGATCTAGACTTTAGATCTAGAGTTTATGTATCTAGATCTAAATCTAGTCTAGATCTAGATCCCCCTAGATCTATTCTAGGGGACTCTTCGGGAGAAAGTGGTCCCGGCCTCACTAGCACTCCATCATATAGAATCTAGAGATCTAGATCTAGAAATCTAGATCTATAATCTAGATCTAGATCTAGATCTAGATTAGATCTAGATTTCTAGATCTAGACATTTTTATACTTAATGTAGGCTACTCGATTGGAAACTAAACTGAAAGTGAAAGTAGTGAAAGTTGCCTAGAAAATAAAGGGGGGACTCCACCTGCCTCCCCACCAAAAAAAAAAGGGGGGGGGGGGGGGGGATGCAGGGGGGCACCCCCCTGCTAAATTCACAAAATATGGTTTGTGGGAGTTTTAGTACCAAAATTGTTCTCAGCACACAAAAAAACTGTTAGAATTCAGAATAGTGCGGAAAAAAGATATCTAGATTTACTCAGCACCTTTTCGGTAGTTCCCACCCCGCAATTGTTATCCACCGGTTTTGGCTCCAAGAGAAGGAGGGTTTCAGGGGGCCCCCTGACCTAATAAAAATATGATGGGGGGGGGGGGGGGGGTTTCAGTGGGACATGCCCCCCTGAATTGTACCATAATTTGATTTTTTGCAGTTGTTAGCTTTCATATCTTAGCTCGCCAAGGATCAAACGTGTATAGAGATCTAGATTTCTAGATCTTAGGATGTAGATCTAGATCTAGATCTAGGCTCAAATAAAGGGGGTGGGAACTACCGAAAAAACGCCCTAGATTCTAGACCTAGATATAATCTAGAATCTAATCTCAAAAGGTCTGGCAGGCAACTCGGTTCAGTTTTTGGACTCGACTTCCGTTTTTGTTTCCGATTTTTTGGGTAAAAATGTCTATTGAGTCAGTCCGGGACCACTTCTCCCGAAGACAGCCTAGTCTAGGCCTGGCCATGTTTTTACCACGGCCACCTTTTAAATTCTTACCCCGGGTGAGAATTATCAGAATAACCCATGTCTCGTTATCCCCCCCCCCCCCCCCCCCCCCCGCCCGGCGAGAAAAGAGCTCCCACCATGGTGTGGGCATGAAGCGAGGACTAACATGCGATTAAGAGTAGCATGACGCTTTTTCCTGATTGGCTGCTAATTTTAGTAATTGATGTCATCACTTCCTGGGATACCCACAGACTATTTTAAGAAGGCCATGGAAGTACCGCTTTGAGTAACGTAATTTAACATTTCGGAATGCAGGTGGCTATTCTCCGGCGTCGCGCCGGTCAAGTCAATAGAATGGAAGCTATTCTCCGGCGTCACGCCGCCGGTCTATTACTAATGAATTATTTGTCGGCGCAGATTTGCAAATATCTCTCTCTCATCTGTTTGTTTTGGAAAAAAATTCCCATAATTTCACCTCTTCGTGCCACTTCCATTGATACAGACGATAGGTTTTCATATGATGGAAGATTGCTTAGATCGTTGATGCTCATAACAGTAAGAACCTTAATGCTGATGCTTGAAATTGAAACATGATAAATGCTGTAGATCAGTGGATCGCGCAGATCTTTTTGTGGATCCATCATATAAAACCGACCAGGAAGATCAAATGTGGCGTCCTATTGGTTTTTGATGGTTTGTGAGACTTGTGATCATTGGTGCCTGCTCCACGCCTGACACTTGCCTGAAGGAGGAGGAATTAGATTATGATGATATCTAGGTCAGTTATTCAGTCCTACACGTTTATAACTTCCGCTAAGGGCAATTTCAACAATAGGGATATGGACGCTCATCTGATGTTAATACCTTATAATTTCATAGCAAAGGAACACTAAACTTAATGCAGCAAAAGAAATTGCTGTATTTCTTATTTTGTTTCAGTGGTAGAGGTTCTTGTGTTTAGGAAAATCATGTGTATTGGTGGTAAACTGTAGCCTGTAGGTGTAGGGCAGGAAGCCCTAGACTTGATTTATAACTACTCTGTTGAATGGACATGATATATTTAGTCATTTTCCGTTTTCTATTTTTAGCCTATGGTACTTAATGATTTTAAAAAATAATTAATTAAGAGACAAATAAAATTGCCATACTTTAAGTTGAAAAGGGTTATAAAGCTTATAATGTTACACGCTTGGTGATTTTTGTTTGACTCTATGTCATGTGGTGAATGCTTGAAAAAACTTTTTGACTACACTTTCTGTCATTTCCTCATTTCTGGTCATGGGCCAATATTTTGTTTCTTGGCTTCACAACCACAAAATACAGACAGCACAACCCACTGTTTCTGATTGCCATGGGCAACACCCTGTGCATTATTTTAGCGCTGCTTCTTCTTTCCTATCAAACATCTATCATCCTTATCTCCCCTTCTTCTTTTTTATGTTCCTTACTCTCTTGTAGCGGGTGGTTGGCGGGTGCTCTGATGTGGTCTGCTCCTTCTTTCCTATCAAACACACCTATCATCCTTATCTACCCTCCTTCTTTTTTATGTTTGTTACGGTACTCGCTTGTAACACCTCTAATCTTCTGGCGCTCATATATGACCTTACGCAGTTGCGAGCGCCGAAAAACTTCTACTAAAAAAAAAGAGCTGATAGCTAACACATTGATCGTCAAACAAGTTGTGACAGTTTACACAATTATATTTGTTGAAAAATCAATAGCATTTAGTGGAGTAGTCAGAATATACCCCCCTGCCTCCTCCAATCTATTCCTCCGTGCATGCAATAATATATAGGAGACCTGCAGGTGTTGTTATTATCATGTTTAAATAGTAGGCCTAATTAAGTTGCTAACAGGTACTAACTGCTGTCTGTCTATAACTATTGAAAGCTGACATTATTTTATCCTCTACCTCACTGTGTGCTGTGACAAGAAACTTTAGTGCCGTAGCTGAATTAAATATATATATTATGATTAGGAACCTGCCTTTTATACAAAAGGAACACACAGTGGTTGTATTTTGAAACTTTCTTTGAAACCAGGATATTCCTCATTTTCCCACCCTTGTTTGATAATTTAATTTATTAAATCTTGATATATTATACTGTGTCTCTTAATGTTTTTGTTCGTACTTGTTTGATTCTTCCTCAAGGGCAATATATGTGGCAGATGACACTTAATAAGTGTTTGTAAAATGTGGTAGCTCTGGTCCAGCGTGTCTACCTTTTTATAACCCTAGCCCACTTTTTTCCACCTTCAACTTTTAAGAGGTGAAAATTTTTGTGCCTCCCACCAACATGTATTTCCAAGCGGGGCATTGTATATATTTGATAATAGTCACTACACGTGTGATCCCCTCTGCTCACCAAAATTACCTAAATGGGAAAAAAAGAGGTTGGAATGAGTGAGGGTATCTGGCTTTTTCTATGCTTGTGTACACTGTGTTGTTCCAAGCTGAGAGGTGCAAAGAGCATGCATGTACCGGTATTTAAAACTTTCGGAATCAAGTTCCCTGATAGGGAGGGGAAAATCACAGTGTAAACAATCTTTCTCTTTTGTAGAATCGAGAATTCCTCCTCCTCCCATGCCGACCCCAAAATCCAAATCTCGCAAGAGAAAAGTTGGGGACAGGGGTCAGGGAGGGGAAAAAGGATTAGGCTGAGTAGGCTTTATTTAACTGTGTCCTAACTCAATAGTCTGTAATAGAAAGATCGATAGCTTTATAGAGCAGAGATAAATACAGTCAAACCTGTCTAAAATGGCCACCATTTTCGAGGGGAAAAGAGACCGTATTAGACTGGTGGCTTTACTTCACAGTGTCATTATAATGTAAAGAAGATAAGATAAAGTAGGATGATTCTTTATTGAATTGTCCCTGTGGGAAATTTTCCTTGGCTGTACAGGAATGGTAATGCTAGAAAGACTCAGAATATGCAAGGGAGGAAATGGGAAGTGGCTGTTTGTACAGGTGATTGTCTGTAAAAATAGAGATAGCCCTCAGAGCAGGTTGGACTGTAGTTTGGTTCACACACACACACACACACACACACACACACACACACACACACACACACACACACACACACACACACAAATGTTTTAAGGTCAAGTGGGGCTTTACTAATAAGTTCTTCCTAGGGCCCTTGTGATTGTTAATCCAGCACTTCACACAGCTCAGACCGTAATCAAGTGTGTGTGCTCCCCTCCCTCTGGTGTGACGGAACGTAACTCTGCTAGGGTTCTATAGCTGTGCTCTTGGTCAAATACAGTGCATTATATAGTTAGTGGTCATAGGTCTTTGAACGATAGGTGTCTGACCCAAGGATTGTTTTCTTACCAACTATTGTTATTATAAAGATACTGGGAAAAGAAATACAGCGGTGGTAGTTAGGAAATCTTTTTGTAACTTAAACGTAATTTTTCGTAATTTATGAGTCCTTGCTGTGAGTAAAAGTGGCATAAGAAATATTGTTCTAATTAAGTAGCCTACCAAAGTGGGAATAATAACTCAGAATATTCTTTTCACTTTTACAATAAAAGGGCACAAAATTCATTTTCCTCTAGTATTTTCAACTGTTGCTAAAACATAATAGCTTCTGTCCTTGTCCAAAGAAACAAGGCCCTCTTCCAAACGAAAACAAGAACAACAAAAAACAAAACAGAAACAAAGAAAAACACCACCTTGCCCCCCCCCCCCTCCCAAGGGTAATATTGTTGGCAAAGTGTTTACTGTTCATGCTACTATTTCTTACCTATATTAGTATATTGACTTTATTGAAGTCTTGTCTCGCGTATTGTTAATTAAAAGATGGTTCTGTTTTATTTTTTTTATATTTTTTTTTTTGGGGGGGGGGGGTGGATGGCTTAATTAAAGGCTTAATTGCAAGTCTTCGGGTAAGTTTAGTTTTAGTAGAGGTTTCACGGCGCTCGCAACTGCATAAGGTCATGTCAGTGCCAAGGGGTGGATGTCAACAGAGAAATCCTTACAAGGAATTAGAATTACTCTGCACACCTCTCTAGCTTCAACAGCACAAAGTCTGCTTCAACTATCAAGGCACCCCGGAAATAGTGGGTCACAAGAGTGTGACAAACATACAAACGGAGTAGAGGTAAAAATGACGATAGTACGGATTAGGAAAGAAAAAGCAGCAGTTCCCTGTTGCAGTTCAAGCACAGTTGTGAGCATGACATTGATGAGTCAGCCCATTTACATTTATAATTGTACTGTGCATAAGAACTCGAGATGTTAATGTCCCCCCTTTGGGAATGGCCTAAAGACACTTCAGTCAGTAGCACCGCCCGGGGGGGGGGGGGGTAAAGTTTTCAGGTTAGAGGTTACTGAAGTCTGTGAATCAGGAAATGGGAAGAGTACAATTTCACCAGTATTAACAGGATTACACTACAGGGGGCTGAAAAGAACTTTTTAGAATTTTCCTTCATGTAGGCTTGGTGCTATAGCTGAACTGTAATATTTGTCTTGTTTCTGTTGTAGAATTTCAAGAAGTCTACAATGGCTGCCAATATGGAGGAATTGGTTAGTGGTACACAAGCCCTGACAGTCAAAGATGAAAGCGACCTTGACCTTGATTGTAAGTCTTAGATACATTGTGTGCCCTTTGAAATGAATGATACGTTGGGGACCTAAAAGTACGCCTGAATTCACCGAAGCCTTCTCGTCATCATCAAAAAGTACCAGCTCTGAAACAACATTGGAGATCATGGTTTTCCATTCATTTATCTGTTCCGATGCTCTCAAAAAGCCCATACTGTCCTGGTATTTCCCCGACACTCATCTGTTCAGGTTTTCCATTCATTTATCTGTTCTGATGCTCTCAAAAAGCCTATACTGTCCTGGTATTTCCCCAACACTCATCTGTTCAGGTTTTCCATTCATTTATCTGTTCCGATGCTCTCAAAAAGCCTATACTGTCCTGGTATTTCCTCGACACTCATCTGTTCAGGTTTTCCATTCATTTATCTGTTCCGATGCCCTCAAAAAGCCCATACTGTCCTGGTATTTCCCCGACACTCATCTGTTCAGGTTTTCCAAATAAATTGCTCTTGGTCCACCCCTGCCTTGTTTTCCTTCTGTTTTTCCAGTGATAGGAAGATATTTTAAAGTTGTTACTGTTGATTCAAGTTAAGTTGTCACTTCCTAATTAAAGCTTGCTAGCTTTCTATTTTAGGCATTTGATCTTTCTAACCTTTTTTTCTCTATTTAAGGGAAAGCGAATTTGAGACAAAGGAAGCTAGTCGGGTAGGTTCACTCAGCTGCACTGAATTATGTACTTTTCTATACCAATTTCTCTACATTATCTCTCAACCAGTAGTTCTTGTCTGCAAGTTCCCTATACCTCATTCAGTTCAGTGTAAAAGATATTTCAACTGTTTCGGCCTGTGAATTATAGAGTTTTGCCGCATGGACTATAAAATGGAGACATTTACTACCCAGTGTTTCCAGAAAGGCTGTTTACTTGATTAACATATTTCAAAAGTCCATTTTGAGAAATGATACACTTTCCGGAGAACTGTTGAAAGGGTTTCAGCGGACAAGAAGAGTAAAAAAAGTTAAGTTAATCTTTTCTAGAGATGAATTTTGGCTTTGATCAATGGGAGTTGACATTTATATTCTTTCTTTTTTTTTTATGGTGTGGTTTAGAGGTAAGATATTTTTCCTAAATAAAACCTGCTGTAAAAAGTGTAGTCCAAATTGGGACCTTTTCTTTGTTCTCTTTTCCTAGCTGTGGAAGGTTTCAGGAAATCCCTCAAGAAAAAGATTTCACAGTTTGCCTGTGGCTTGGGGTAAGTACTACTCGTGTAGCTTGTAATAAGCTTTCTATACAAGCTTGGAGCTTTTAAAAAGAATTTGATTCAGTTCAGCTCTTGCGTCTCTACGGATTTATATGTAAATCTTTCTCCTTTGAATGGCGGAAGTTAGACTTATCCTTCTCCATAAATTCTGGTTGCACGAAGTTTCGTTTAAGTGTTCTCCACTTCGCCTGTTTAGAAAGAACATCATCAGTGTGAATATTGACTTTTTGGAGGAGTTAAAAATGTACACAGAGATGAAGATGATGATAATAATAGTAATAATAATGATGATTATTATTATAGTTTAATTTAAAAATAAAGCATTTGTATAGAGTGCACGTTTCAGCACAATAGCAAGGTCTAGATTCTATGTGAGATGTAACAAACTTTTAAAAAATAAAAATGTATTTTTTTTGCTTCTTGTCTGTAGCCTCTACATAAAAAGTGTGTTCAGTGAATATTGTTGGCAATGAACACCTCTCTAGACACGAGGCTGGTCACTTAAGAAGCACTTCCAGTTCCCGTGTGCAGAGGATTAGACTAGACTGAGAGAGGGGAAATATCCCTGGAAGGATTCAGAGAAGGATTTGAACCCTTCATGGATTTTTAACTATGACACCCTTGTGGTTGCCGCAGCGTTCAATCACCAATGGGTCAAATATTTTCCTGACGTATTGTGTGTGTTCTTCTTTCATGAATGAGGAATTGTAAAACTGTTTAGGGCCGTTCAGGAACTTTTCTTTCCTCTACAAGTAGTTAAATTATGTAAGGTGCCTCAGGCAGTGGTTTAGAAGGACCACCAGATGTCGACGTGAGGGTGGGGGGAGTCTTGTGGTGGGTGAGTGTGGCAGTTCAGGAACTTTTCTTTCCACTACTTTTACTTTTACTTTTTCACTTTTTCCTTCCTCTGGTATCCTTATATGATGTCGAGGGGAGGTACTTCTTTCTGCTACAAGTAGTTAAATTATGTGAGGTGCCTCAGGCTGTGGTTTAGAAGGACCACCAGATGTCTACATGAGGGTGGGGAGTCTTGTGGTGGGTGAGTGTGGCAGTTCAGGAACTTTTCTTTTCACTACAAGTAGTTAAATTATGTAAGGTACCTCAGGCAGTGGTGATTTAGAAAGACCAGATGTCGGCATGAGGGTGGGGAGTCTTGTGGTGGGTGAGGGAGTGGCGTGTAGTCTTAGTGCAGAGTGCACCTCGAGGCAGTGTGTTGTACGAAGCCGTCATGGCTAATCACACACGTGGGAAGTTGAGTGGATTGAGCATGCAGCGTGCAGGAGAAGCTTGAAAAAAATTCTTGTGGGAAAGGCAAAGCTACTAGAAGTTCCTGGTTTTTTTTCATTTGTGGGATCACAAAGAAGAAGAAGCTTTGGAGACATTTAGTGTGACATTCTGAAGATCAGATGCATTTTTGTGGTTAATATGATGTATGATTGTATAGGCTTCGTTTGGTTGAGACAAATCATTTCCTCATTTTTTGTTTGTTTTGCACAGGAGGTCAATACAGGTGGTCTTTGTTCCGGAAGGTTGTAGTTCTTATTCTGTGTTCAGGATTTTGCTTTTACCGTGTCTGTGATCCCATATAATATATATATTGATAACAAAACTGTATTCCCTTTCCCATCAAAATTGTTCTTTAAACCTGTTTTAATCCAGCTGTAACTTTCGTTTCGTTTGGTGTGTTTTTGCTTGACAGAGCAAATAATTGTTTGTTTTTCAATTATTCATCTTGTACTGTAAATTTTTTAAAAAAATACTGTTCAAAGTCTTTCACTCATTTAATGAATCGCAGGAACAAAAATGTCCTGTCTGAGTTCTTATTAACAATAAATCCTTATAAGTGTGTTTCTCCTTTTCATCGTTGCTTTTTATTCTGTTTTCTTGTGAAATTTGACCGTTAGTGTGACAATAAATGGTCAGGAAAGTAAACATTAACAGTATAGTTTGTGTATTCGTAAGTGTTTGAAAGATGTGTCTTTGAAAGTATCTGTAGACTATAGAGAGTGTGCTGATTCATCAACATGAGGTGCGACTACCCCACCAATGTGGCACCTCTCAAACTTTTCACTTTCCCTGGCTTTTAAGTGTGGTGCTTCTTTCTGCTCTTTCTTGGTCTCCTGTCAAGCTCTTTTACATACTAGTTTTGACTGAGGTTGCTGTAGTATGAAGAATGAGCTGCGAAAACTTTGAGTGGAGCCAACGTTCAGAATGACCTGTCTATCTGTGTTTAGAAGGGCATTGAACCTTTACATTCGACCTGAGATAAACCTGTGGGTGGGTGGCGGGTGCTCTGGTGTGGTCTGCTTCTTCTGTCCTATCAAACATTCTTTGTTACTCTCTAGTAACACCTCTAATCTTCGGCACTTATATAACCGATTTGTGTTGCAAGTGCCGTAAAACTCTTTGCATAAACTAAAAACTGACAAAAACCTCTTAATCAACCTGAGCTTGACTATCTTCATTTGTTTTATGTATCCACAGCAATAAAGAAGACGATGAGAACCGGTACTCTGTCAGATCATCGCAGTCCTCCTCCTCCTCCTCATCCAGAGACTTTGCGGAGAACAGAACTGCGTTTGTGACTGCTGAGCTGAAGACTCCTGCTGTGCCTGTGGATCCGAAAGCCGATGTCTACGATTTTACCTGTGAGAAACGAGGCCTCGCCGTGATCATCAACAACGAGGATTTCAGTCAGTGTCAAGACTTTGACGATCGTCCTGGTTCAACGTATGATGAATCTTCCTTGTACCATTCATTCCAGCGTTTGGGATTTAATGTCCTTCTTCACAGAGATTTGCCGGGATGGAAAATGGTTGAAGTGCTGAAAGCTGGTGGGTCACATATTGAGTATTGTTCTTGTTGCTGATGGGTTGTTTGTTTATTTTGTAGGGCTGGATCTTGCTCGCCAAATTTTGAGAGTGGCGATTCGCGATTCAGTCGGCTTCAAAGAATCGCGAGTACGCGAGCGCTCGTGGAACTGTGGCGGAATACTGACTGAAACGGAACAGTGTCGTATCAACGCCAGTTGTCGAGCGCGAGTCCCACTCTTGTTGTCCCGCCATCCTCTCCGCCCCCCCCCCCACCCTTTGTTGCGCTGCTCTATCTACTGACCTCAATTAGTAACCCCCATTAATTCACCCCCCCCCCCCCCCCAACCCCATGATTTGCTAAAACAATGGCTCCATAAAATTCCTTGTCTATTGGTTGGACCCCGTTCATTTTGTTTTAATAGGGGGGTTGGACTTATTCATCTTTTGTAAAATAAGGGGAGCCGTGCTAAGTGTTCCGTTCCGTTCTTGTGCTCGTGACTCGACCCAGCAGTAGGTTAAACAAGCCACAAGGTGGTGACAGCGACCGGGGAGGGAATCAGGAATCGTTTGGCGTTACTGTTCCGCTGAAGTGAATCGTGAATCGCGTTCCGCAGGCAAGAGTGGCGATTTAGTTCCGATCTCGCGCTTGCGACCCAGCCCTATTGTTTTGGGTTTGTTGGGTTTTTTTGTTGGTTTTTAAAAAATTTTTTTAACGGCTTTCAATCTCTGACTTTTTTTCAAATGAGAGAAGGAAAAGGATATCGAGTAATATTTGGATTATATTTTAACGTCTGAGAGAGGTTATCATAAACAGTCTTTATATTATATAACGTCGTTTGAAATATGAGCAGACTACTGTATGCAATCTTGTTCTGTCAAGATGGCTTTGTTGTGTTTTTAGTTTTGTTGAAATTTTGTTGTTCTTGAATCTGAAAGGCCTGCATAAGTAAATGTGAGGCAACGTGGTGAGATCAGACACTCGTCAAAATAATGAAATAGAAGAAACGGGCATTTTACCATTTCTTTTTGCTAAGCACCTAGTCAACTGAACAATAATTTGTTTATTCCAGCTGCCTCAAGTTACGACCACAGAAATGCCGACTGTTTTGCCTGCGCAATCCTCTCACACGGTGACCAGACGTGGACTGAGAGGGAGTGGGACCGACTCGGCACCAAAACGCGACTAGACCTGCTGTTTGGCGTGGATGGGCGTGCGGTGGCCACCAAGTTTATCGTGGAGCTGTTCAGCGACAACTATTGTCCCGGTCTGGAGGGGAAGCCGCGGCTTTTCTTTCTTCAGGTATTGTTTGATGTTCTTTTTGTAGCTGCCGTTAATTTCATGTTTTGTTGACCTTTTCCCCCTAAAGACCAGTGCCTTGCTGATCAGCTGTTTCAATGTTCTGAGCCCAAAATTTTTATTAAAATTTTTTTACTGATGTTTCTTAACCCTCTCCGTACGCCCTGGGGTCATTTTGTACCCCCGGGGTTGTATTCTTCAATTTTTAGAATACTTCTAGTACGAAGATCTCTTTGAAACTTTTAATATTTCTCAAAAAATCATTTTGACAGACTGCTATGCAAAGCGTACGGATAAGATTAACAAGTAAATTTCCTCTTTGGAAAGTAGTGGCACGGAGTTCCCCACATCGTATGGATACGATAGTAAAACACGATGTACGGATAGGGTTAACTCACTTGCGACTGGGCCCTTTCACCAGTCACAAGCGTTGAAGACTGGCGTTTTTGGGGGTATTTCAAAAAATCACCACAACTCTCAGAATTACCCTATTGTAATCATTTTTTGGCACAGTAAAGTAACATTCAAGCTTAATCTAATACAAAAAATTAAAGTTGTCTAAGTCTAATACTTTAATTTGTATGATTTTTTAAAAATTGGCATGAATTTGATTTTCCAAAAAATTTCCAGAGACGTGACAAGTAGAAGGAAATTCACTGCAACAACAAAAATAAAAGTTCAAAGTGTTCTGGTTTGATTTGTATACATGTGCGAGTGTTTGGTGAAAATATTAGAGCTGGTCTGTGCATTGATTCAGACCCATACACTGAATTACATGAGACAGATGTACGGCACGACGTTGTGATTTTGTTGCGCGAAAAACAACACTGGTACTGGTACTTGTGCTAGATCTAGCCCTAGAACTACGACTCGGGCCGTGTTCGGGTACATATCCAGGATCCTAACTATTAGACACATCATATTCTGAGACACTAGAACTAGTAAAACGCACAGAAGTATAGAAAACGGCGAAATTATGTGATTCTTGTTCATGCGACTTCTTCGACCGTTACTACGACGCGACTGTCGGATTACTATCAGCTGTATAGAAAAAAACAAAGCGCGAGTTCCGGTCTGTTCAACCCCAGTTGGGGTCACTGTCCTTCACCTTCAATAACTTAAAAACTACCGGCCCCAGAGATACGAAACGAAGTCTAAGTAGCTCAGGCTTGGCCAAACAAGGGTACGAGGCGGTTCTTGCGATCCGTGCGTGATTTGTAGAGCGAAAAAAAAATTTCAAAGTTGGTCACGCAGGGCTTGTGAGACCCGTCGCGAGCGTCGCGGCGGGGGTCACGCAACTGTTGTGTGACCCGTCTGAAGTGAGTTAATCTGTGGTATCAGTTGCAGGCGCTTGAAAAATATTTTGCCGAAATTCAAGTTTTTGAATGTTAAATAAAGCAAGTAGAGATTCATAAAATTTAGATGCAATTGGTAAAAGAATGAACTAATGTTTTCTCTCTTGTAAAAAATTGTACTTTCTGAGCTTAGATTTGTAGAACAGCTTGCCCAAGTTATGCATCATAGTGTGTGTCAGCTGCTTGTACAATGTGTCTTCATCCAGCCACAATGGGAGGATTTGTTTCTTGAAAACGGTCGCTTTTCAGGACAAGTGGGCTAACTCAGATTTCGGGGGTTTCCAGAAATCTTGACCAACACCAAAAGTGGGCATTGCCTTACCTATAGGAGAAGTTTGGTTTCATTGGTGTTTGTTTGGTTATAGAGAAAACTCTCCTTGTTTTTTAATGAAACTGAACAAGGGGCAAAAACTTTACCTTCGATTTTCTCAAAACAGCATTTTTCGGGATAGCCCACTTGTCCTTAAAAGCGACCAAATCTTACAAATAAAATTATGTAGACTTGCACAGTGTTACAATGGGTATTAGATTAGGTTCATTTCATGTTAATTTTGGCAATGATCTGTAAGAAATAAGATAAAAAATGATTCCACCAAGACTCAAGGTGTTCTCAGCTCTTAAGTAAAATGGACTTAGCTCTTTCATTCTGAAATAATCTGACGTAAATGTTGAGACTGTCGGTTGAATAACTTCTATTTTGTTGGCATGTCAGTGAAATTTAAACTTAAAATAGTCACTGCGTATCCGATCCACAGGCTTGCAGAGGCAGCAAACTTGACCACGGTCAAGAACTTCCGGTAATAAGACCCAGGTACACCCCAGGCATCCGTCCAAGAGTGCGAGAAATGGGAGATGGTCCCGATCGAGCCAGCGGAGGTATTGATCTTCCCGATATAAGTGAGATTAACAGCCCAACGTCCAGCAGTGTTGATCCTCCTGAATTTCAAAGAAAGGTAAGATCTTTCTGCTGAATGTCTCAGATAGCAGAATTTGAAAGGTTATTTTAGATTATTTTGGAGTTCAGACCCAAGATGGTGGTGTCGGTAGCCTAACAACCGGTCCCAGAATCATGACATTGCGGGTTCGGGGGTTCAAGCCTCAGCTGGGTCCTACTTTGTGTCTTTGGGAAAGGCACTTTATAGAAGATTCCGATTTGACCCTGTCCTTTTGTAGATAGATGGACATTAAATTAGGAGGTCCCACTTCTAAAAAAACCCAACTAGTGTTGATAGGGGAGGTAGACATATACCATTTCACCAGACCCAAGATATAGTTCGATTAGTGGTTTATAGTGAAGTAGCAAGGAATCTGTCACATTTCTCCAGAAGCAGATAAGATCAATATCAACGCAAAGCGTTAAAAGGAGCAGACTTTTTCAAAATGCTCTTGTGCCACATGTTTTAAACGTTTGTCTCCGAAAGTTCTTTCTGCTCTCTGACAGAATTTAATTTTGGTCAGTCAGTATGAAGGGGAGGGCCACTTACATAGTTGGGTATAATTTCTCCTCAAATAAAGCTACTACACTGTTTTATATCTCATTAGAAAGGGATATGAATGTAGAATATGATTATGAAACTGACAGGTCAAAATGTCAATCAAATTGAAATTCAAGGCTGATAATAATAATAATAATAAATAGCATTTGTATAGCGCATGTCCCCACTCGAAAGCAAGCTCTATGCGCTCTACACTATATTATTACCCCAGCAGACCATAGAACTTTCAGAAACATTCTCAGCTTCCCGGGAAGCATGCGGTGCAAGCAGCTGGTTAAGCGCTCAGACACTAACAAACTAACAACATCTTTCTCTGTCTACAGCTGGGTACCCATTCCCACTTGGGTGAAGTGGGGAAAATTACTGGAAAGTGTCTTTCCCAAGGACACAATGTCGGGCCCACGGCTTGAACCCCTGAACCCGCAACCTCACAATTACGAGTCCGGTAGCCTGACCACTAGGCCACCGACGCCACTGATCATACAGATGGGAAGGAAAACAGTTTCACTTTTTTTAAAAACTTTTATCCACCGCTTGTACCCTTTTGGGTGTTGCGGGAAGAAAGAGACGTCTCTCTGTCTCCAGGGGGATGCCTTGGGTGGTTTGTGTTTCCCTGACTCGGTCTATTCTATCCAGGTCGTTCTCGGTCGCCCTCTAGCTTTGTTGCCATCGAATTTTTGGGTGTTGACGTGTTGTGCTGGATGGTGTGTTGGTAATCGTATTAGATGTCCGAACCATTTCTTTGGTTTTGGATGTGATGAAAACAGTATAAAACGTGTCAAATTTGAGATTCACTAACACAGTAATATGTCGGATGCTAAGAAACTGTTTATGATGTGTGGTTTATTCAATCAACACTCAATTCTGAATGTGGATGTCACTTGTCATTGTAAAAAAATAGTTCACCACAAAGTTATAGCCATTTTTATGCAATCAGTTGAACTTTGAAATCGTTATCGTTCAGCCACAAACTGAAACAATGCACAATGGAAAACTCTGGCCTTCTCTTTCAAACTATCGACCAGCTGAGAAATGGTTGCTGAGACTTTAACCCTTTCGCACTTAGAAGGCTTGGCCAGCTGTGGGCCCCCATCCTTAAGACAAGGGCAACAACTCCACGAAAATTGAAGGGGTACCTTACTAAAAAAATTGTATAAAATCACAAACACAACCAAAAATTATGAAAATAGTTTTTTCTGAAAGGAAAATGAATGAGCTAAATTACTAGTACAAAATTATAAGTGGAATAGAAGAGTATGAAATGATATGAGAGGTCTTTCTGAGATGCGTGTCTTGGATTCCGAGTCTAGATATCTAGATCTAGATCTAGATCTGGATCTAGACCTCGTATACTACATTTCTTCAACTCACGAAGTTTCTGCCACTGACAAAGAGGTAATCCACACAAAAGAAATACAACACATTCACAGAGATTGAAGCCTCTGGTGGAAACTTGAAAGCACGTAAAAGACTTTTCTTTGGTTGTTTTTATTTTGTTTTTGCCGTACTCATATCGGGCAGCTTTGCGCCCATGCATCCTAGAGACATGATGGCGTGTTTACAACTAAAATCTCCTCCGACTTTTGTTCCCGCTCAAAAAGTGACTCTTTGTGCTAGCGAAACGAGAAAAACACCATAGTAAACCGGAACTCTTCCTCTATAAAGATAGCTAAGTTAAACTTTTGATGATAGTAAAAGTAGAAGCCTCCCGCAGCAACGAAACAAACACCCCCGTGGCGGGCGCTATAGGGATGAGCGGGGGTCACCGGCGCGGGCGCATACGGGCGCTGTAAGTGCGAAACGGTTAAATATATTTTATTAACAGGATAACAGGGAGAGACGTAAACTTGAAATTCTTCTCTATTCCTGATTTGAAACGGTGTGCCTTTTTTAAAGACTAAAAGTTGTTTCCACATCTGATCAGGACATAGGGGATTGCCTTCTTAGTGAGACAACTTCCGAGGCCTTCGGCGTATTGTGGTAAGATGGCCACTTCCTTTCCACGCCGCCTTTACTTCCCCAACTCGAAGTCAGGTACCCATTACTGCTGGGTGGGCAGGAAGGGGCAAAAAAAATTTGTGTCCGAACCGAGGCTCGAACCCAGACTTTCCGCTTCGGGTACGAGCGCACTAACAGTTCCGCCACCGCACCCTCTAAAGACTGTGGTATGTTAACTATTTTAAGTTCTCACTTTTGTTACCAACCAGCTGTCTTTTTCACTGTGTTATGTGTAAATATTTTCTTTCTCTTCTTCCCATGTTAACCATCAGTTAGTGGACTACACAGATGCTTCATCTGATGGTGATGCTGGTCCTTCTGAAGACTCAGGGCAGTTGGGAAACACTGCCGAACGGACAGGTGAGTTTATATAAGGTTTTGCCACATCTTCACAAAGGAATTTTTTTAATCAATAAAAGATGAGTGATCTGTGGAATCCTAATCTTCTGTATCCTTACCTCTGAAGGCTGACTGACTACCCATCCTTAACCCTGGCTCTAACCCCTTCTGTGTTGCTCGTTTTTACCCGAAACCTGACACCTAACCCTGAACTTGCTTTTCAGATTAATTGTTTTGTTGATTCAGAGCTTTTGCACCTGTGCTGATACAGTAAAACCTGCTTTAGCAATCACCTGTGTGTATACGGTAGCTTCCCATCCCCCCCCCCCCCCCTCCCCTTGTGTCTTTTAAAAATTATAATGACACTGTGTGTAAGACGGCCGCTTTTCTCTTCAACAGTGGCTGGCTGTTTAGGACCATTTGAACTGTATTGATGTTGCTGCTGTTTTTAAGACCGGTTCATTCAATGTTTGCCCCCTCCCTCCCCCCCCCCCACTCCTACAAACACACACACACACACACACACACACACACACATACACACACGCACTCCTACACACTTCCACAGACACACCCACACACACACATACTCCTACACACTTCCACAAACACACACACACACACCTACACACTTCCACACACACACACACACATACACACATACACACACCCATTCTTATATCTATGTTCACCTCTGTTCAAAGATATTCATTACAGCTGTAAACAAGTTATATTTTTTTACTTCCCGGAGGGTCATACACAGGTGAACCCCGGCATCAGAACTACATCAAACCGCATGCCCAGCATGACTGGAAACATGTTGGGAAGACATTAAGTTTTTTTTACTTTTGATTTTCCGTTCTTTTATTGCGATTCTCTTTTCAGTGAATTCTTTTCTTTGTCTTTTCCCGCATGGTTTCAGTCGCTGATGATGTAGATGCTGGGTGGGGCTTCACCCGCGAGGTGCCAGTATCTCCCACCCCTTTGTACAAGGACTGTCTTGTCATGTATGCTACACCTCCAGGTAAGTTCCCTTTTTCAATATTTTTAAATCTTTATATTATACAAAGAACAGTCTTTAAAAGATGATACAATGCAAGAAATGGTCTTTAAAAGATGATACAATGCAAGACATGGTCTTTAAAGGATAAAAGATGATACAATGCAAGACATGGTCTTTAAAAGATGATACAATGCAAGACATGGTCTTTAAAAGATGATACAATGCAAGACATGGTCTTTAAAAGATGATACAATGCAAGACATGGTCTTTAAAAGATGACAAAGACGTATTTATTTTACATTTTACTACTTTTCACTTCCCCCTATGTGTTTCTTGTATAGTCTTTAAAAGATGACAAAGACGTATTTATTTTACTTTTGACTACTGTTCACTCTCCCCTGTGTGCTTTTAAAAATATTGTAATGGCAGTGTCTAAGATGTCCATCTGTTTAAGACATTCATCTTTCTCTTCGACTATGAGTGGCCATCTTGGACTATTTTGACTCTTCATTGTATTGCCATGATATAGGTACCAGAAACTAAATTTTCAAAGTAGTTGTATGCCAAATTTATCAGTTCCATTTGAAAGGCCTATATCCACTGAGCATTTTGGTACTATTCTTTAACCTCTCAGTCAATTTTTAAGAAAATGGTAGTTGTTTAGAATTTGATCAAATTTGTTAAAGTCAGTCACTGGCTGCAACCCCATGTTTGACAGACAATAAAAGAGTACCAAGAGCACTAAACATCTTCACATTAACAGAGTACTATAACTATAACAAATATATGGAGCCTAATTTTTTTCAAGACTGTGAGATCATTACAAATCAGTACTTTATCGCCTCAAACATGATGATCTGTCGTTATTTCGACAAAAACACCGAGCGTTGACCCGGCCGGCGCCGCACCGGCCCCTGCGGCGAGCGAGTCGGCTCTATACTGTAGTGTACCCCGCGTGCGGGGTCACATGTTTTCTGAGTCTCACGGAAGGATTGATAAAAAATTATTCCAAATTAATTACTTTATTCTAATAGGAAATAAACTGATCTTTAACTAGATATATTTTTTAAATCGGTATTTTACATATTATGGGTAAAAAGTGATCTTTAAACATTTTGACAGTATTTTTAAAAGCTTTCTATTTAGACGCTAAAGGCAAAACACATACCATGGGAAAGCCCGTTCAAAGCTCTACAGTTCTCCGCCAATGAAAAGACAGTATTTAATCATTCCTCGTTCCGCGAAGCATTTGAATGCACCCGTGTCAATTTTTCAACCGGCCGACTACGCATTCCGACCACGAGGGGCTTCGCTTTCGTCGGTGATTCTCCAGCTCCTACTAATTGGACATAAAAACAACTTACACCATTGTAACGAAGAAAAGCTGAACTTTTACAAGAAGTACGGCACTTGGTGTTTTATTGCGAAAGAGCAAAGAAACAGCGATAGGAATCACCCTGATTTCACCGATTCCACGCGGTCGGAAGGCCGCGAGTGCCCGCGAGGCTGTGTTTACGCTACCTACATGATAACCATATCTAGTTGTTTTGCCACATTTTCTTATTATTTAGATGAATTGCTTTAAGTAAAATAGGAATATTCCAACCCTTCCTTCCTTCCTTCCTTCCTTCCTTTTTTTCTTTCCTTCCTTGTTTGCTTCTTTCTTGCCATCCTCCTTACCTTCTTTTTTTCCCTCCTTACTTTCATTTGATCCTCCTTTTTTTCTTTACTTCCATCCTTCTTAATGTTGTTTGTTCTTTTCTTTATTCGTTCTTCCTCCCTTCCTTCTTACTTTCATTCGTTCCTTCCTTCATTCCATCCTTTCTTTATCCTGTTATTATTCAACTGTTTCACTCACCGATTCATTTATTGACGTTTCCTCCAGGATATTTCGCTTGGAGGAGAAGCACCGGAGCTTGGTTCGTCCAGTCTCTGTGCACGGTTCTAAACAGCGGCATGGTTCATCGCATGTCTCTGGTGAACCTCCTGTCTCGGGTGTGCGGGCTGGTGGCGCACAACTTTCAGTCCCAGAACCCAAGCAGACCCAGCATGCACGAGAAGAAGGCCGTTCCAGTCGTCGAGAGCATGCTGGTGAAAGACGTCATCTTCACGAGGAAGCAATGAGTTCCAAAGCGTCTTTTTGCCTCTCTTTAGATTTGGGTTGCCTCGAGGATCTGGAGTTGACTGCACAGTCTGTGCACGCTACTAGATTGACTGTCTTACTGGTTTGGAGAACGAAGAAGAAGGAGGACAAGTTTTGGGTCTTCCTTTTTTTTTTTTGTCCTTTTTTTTTTTTTGATAGATTATTGATCTCGAAAGCAGCTCTTACCTGAAAATGCGTTGTAGGCTACCTCTTTTTTTTCTTCTATGTTCGAGTTGCTGTTATGAGCATTTTCTTTTTGCTAGAAGTGTTAAATGAACTCTCTTTTCAGACAGCTATTTGTTGAGAGACCTGGTAAATTGCATTTATTTGTATATTTTTAATTGTTTTAAGGGAAACTCAGTATTAGCGTCCCCCCCCCCCCTAACCCCCAACCCCACCCACCCATTCCATTAAATCCTAAGACTTTGTTTCTCATCAATGTATCAAAGAGTGTTTTTTCTAGAGGTTGCTATTTTGTTTAAAATTCTTAATACATCAGGGAATGTCTCCATTGGTATTATTTGTAGAAATCCACCAGTTTATCATAGGTATTGATTGAAAGAGCGTTTCATTGATTGAGGATCTTGGTATTTATTAATTGTATAGTTTATATCATTTTTTATCTGAAGCACTGTGCACCCTTATTGCTAGAATTGAACATTTAACCACACTACAGCTGCTCAGGGCTATGGGTCTTTGAAAATAAATTGATTTCTACTATTTAATTGATTCACCTTAAAAGTCTTTTTTCACATTTTATGTAGGCTATGTTTTTAAAATATATATTTATGAGTTCTTTTTGTATGTTTTGCTTGAAACTGGCAACATTTTTTTTTCGTAATGAGAACAATATTTGCTGGACTCTGTTGGCTTTGAAAGTTTTTTTTTGTTTTGTTTTTTTAAATGATACAATTTTTTCAATGTTAATCATGTGAGTATACTCCCTCTTCGCCACTGTGGAAGTTCTATTAGAGAAAGGACTGTATTTTTTACCAGCTGTGAAGTAGATCTCTTAAAACAAAGGTTATGATAAAATTGAGTTAAATGATAAGCTTACATTAGGACTAAAATTAAATCGTAACTGTGTTGTCTAATACTTTGACGCTCTGCTGCATAAAATTGAATTGAAATACAGTGGAACCTGCCCAAACAGCCGCCTGTCCAAGACAACTACCTGTACAACAAATAACCACTTCCCTCTTCCCCACTTGCAGGGTTGTTTCTTTTTTCTCTCATTAGAATGAAACTGTCCAGCATGTGCACATATCTAAGTCAACCACTTTTCTTCCCAACTATGAGTGGCTGTCTTGGACAATTCCGACTGTATGTATGACTGTTTATCTTTTTGCAGCATAGTCTTGTGGTTGTTGATTTAAACGTGCTCCCTATTTACCAGTGAAGTCAGAGAAAATGCTTTTCTCAAGTCAGATTATTTCGTGTAAGTATGAAGTGTAGTGATGACCCACTGGGTATGGGAATGTAGCTTTGAGTTTGTGTCTTTTGTGAGGCCTTACAGATGAGTCTTTGTCTTTGGCAAGTGTTAGGACTCTCAGTGAGTTTTTAAGAAGCTAAGAAGATAAAGAGTTTTTCTGGCACTTTCATGACCATTACTGTGTTTAAAGTGGCATAAAATAAAATGCTTGCCATGCTATACCAAAGATGAAAGGGTAAGTTATTCTAATGGGCAGGCCTACTTCCTACATATTCATACATGGGCAGTTTTGTCTGTCTTGAGATGGTGTGAAACTTGGCTGTTTCAGATAGGCTTATGAATTTTTTGAAAGCATTACATGTTTTCGAATTTTGATATAACCTTTATATACTATATATACTATATAGTGTTTGCTCTATTGATTCAGCTCTGTTTATATTTCAGTTTCTGAATGCTTCAAAAATAATGTAGTTTTTTAAAGGGATGACCTTATGCTTAGCATCCAATAAAAAAAAACTACCTGTTACCAAATTCCAGAGGTTGATTTGAACGCTCATTGCTCACTCTGATTCCAGTGTCTTACTTTATAAACTGAGCAAATATATCTGCCGATTAGCCTTCCTTTTATTGACATTTATTCACCGCATATTTTTTACTGTTTTTTTAAATGATTGTTGTGGAAGGTTGATGTAAATATACCTGTAAGACTACATTGTTGTTGTTTTTCCTAAACATTCTTTTGTATGATTGACTGTTCTATATTTCTATGCAGTTGTTGCTTAGTCCCAAACACCTGTTTGGCCTTTGCTTTTGCTCTTTTAGTTTGTTTCACTTTTGACGACGTTAAAATTGGCGGCATATCGCTACCCTAGAATTACAAAGTTCCATCTGCTCAGTGAGAAATTTGGAGTCAGTCAAAGAGTTTGAGTTTCTCAACATGTCAAGCTTTTTCTAATGCAATTTTTTGAATATCTTGATAACGACTCCGAAAAATATGACCATTTTGATAGAGCGGATAGAGCATTTGATTTTTTTTATCTCATGGTCTTTGTAATTCGAAATGGTCAAAAATTTCCGTTAGAAAAACTTTTTAATTTTGAGGTAGTGATATATATATGTAAGTTTTTGTGTGTGTGTGTGTTCCCAGTGTACATTAACCCCTGGGTGTTGCCAGGGTTTACGTGAGTGACTCGTGACATCCCTTTGTTGATAGATATCGACTTGTGATACCACCGGAAGCCAGTTGAAAAGAGCCAAAGTAAGCGGTCGAACAGCTTATTCTCTGACTTGCCCGACCTTTGGTTCCTGTCAAGTTTTTTGTCAGATGGGAGGGTGGGAGAAGCGTTTGGGTCCATGTTTATGGTTCTTCATTTCTCCAGCCGTGATAGTGGTGTATTAGTAATGTCTGTAGCCAAAATTGTCTTTACATTTTGCATTTTTATATCATTTTGTAATGCCTGTGATCTTTTTAGCAAAGAGGTAATGAGGCCCTTTTGTGTCATATTTATATGTACCTGGTTTAGAGATAAGACATTTCTGTTTTTGGTTAAATATAAAGTTTGTGCATAATGATAAATGATAAGTAGCTTTTATATAGCGTTGTATCCTGTTGAGAAACAAGCTGAATGATGAATAGGGCTGTATGTACATCGCTCCTCGTTATGGATTTGATATGTCAGAGTTTTATGTCACTTTACCTAGACTGGTTGGTGTCTGTGGTGTAGAGGTTAGACACTTTGCTGTCGCAAGCGGGAGACCCAACTTGGATTCCTTCCCAACTGGGGAGAATTTTTTTATTGAGTATCTTTGGGGGGGTCTTTCTGCTAGGCTGTTGTATCCCTCTCAGTCCAGGTTGGGTCAACAAAGCCCACCTCGTAAATTATCTAAATTGTGTCAGAGGAGGAGAAGTAGAACACCAGTATTTATAACTTTTTCCTCGGCACAGAATGAGTACCGTAGATGTCTGTGGGGAACTGCTGTCTGTGGTATAATAGTTACGCTCTTCGCTGTTGCATGCAGAAGTTGGAGCTAAATTCTGGTGCGGGAAAGTTTGCTTTATTTATCGAGTTTCTTTCTCTGTATGCTGTTTCCCCACTTAGCCCCAGTGGCCCTGACAGGCTGGATGGAGGCCTCTCACCCCCTAGATGATCTACTTTGTTTCTATAATAAGAATGTAAAATTTTTACCGTCTATCGATCATGTCTGGGGCAATGTTAAAGCCCTTCGCTGCCATTTGCTGAAATCGTAAGTTTACTTGCCGTTTTGGAAGTTGTATCAAGTCTCCCTATCTTTTTACTGAAAGGTATCCAATCCACTCTTAGGTTTGCCCTGCAAACAAAAGCAGCTCACCCCATGAATTATAATATGTAAATTGTTTTGACTAGGGCATAGAAAATATTTTGCCACTGTCACAAGAAAATAGAGTTACTACAGTCTAGCATGCACTTAGACTTTTTTGCTATGCTTGTACCCGTATATTCTTTGAATTTTAAACACTAACCCTGCGAAATGTGTACAAATCAAAAAGGTTTCCTCGTCCCACCGATTTTGCTATGTGCATGCTGGACTGCGTTTCTTGTGACATTGACGATTTCTTTCATTTTACAATGGTTATGGACGAGTATCATCATTGTGTTCATTTGTTCTTGATCTCATACTTTCTCTTACAACTTTGTTTTTTTCTTTTTTTACAAAATTGTACAGATTCAACTTCCCCTTTCAACACTGTAAGAAGCGGGACCTATCTCCTCTCTCTGATAGGACTGAAACAAATGGAGGGATGCTGATAGCCTTAAAAACTCCCCCTAACCCACCTAAATTCAGTACACTGTGTTACAGATTCGAACCAGGGCCAGTAACTCCACAGTCCAGCATGATACCAACCGAGCTAATAACGCGCCTTGTTTTCTTTTTAAAGCTGGGAGGGGTGGGGTTTTGTTGGGGGTTTTTTTTTTTATTAAAAAAGAATTTTTTCTTATTTCTAACAGGACTGTGAGTGGTTTTTGAGTCACAATACAAATTGTTAGGGGCAGGTTTTGTGGTAGGAGTCATTATTCCCTGTGTTTTTCGCTGCAAGTGTTCATTCTCTGTTTTTGTTGAACATACCCTGGTGATGAGGCCTGGTCACTATATACATGCACGTCTTCCTTTGTTTCATTGGGGGGTGGGATTTTTTATGAAGATTTCTAATTTTTGCATTTTCTTGTTGTGTTGTTACTTTTTTATTATGGAGGAGATGCTGAAATACGGTACGAAGAAATGGTGATGTTTGTTGTTGTTTGCTGAGTTTTGTTTTCTTTGCCAGTGCCAGTAGTACTTCAGGGCTTATTGAAAGTTCAGAGTCCTGTCACTTTTCTGAGAATTTTTATGTAAAATGGTTTTTAAATGGTCAGTTTTTCCTACCACTGTCTCAATAGAAATTCTGACTGTATAAGTACCGTATGACTTTTCTGAGGCGATATTTTCACTTCGTGATTTGATATGTGAAGTTGGAAAATTTTAAGCGAAAGCCCTTTTTCATAAAAATGTTGCTATTTAAAACAAAAACAAGGCCAAGTGTTCCATTGTTGCTCTGTAACTGGCTGGGGATTTTCTTCTGACGAGACTCAGAGATTTACTCCAGGGTCAGCCGCACTAAACTTCATAGATTTGCTACAAGTCATTTTCTTCATGTGATAGCTGTAGTAATGATGATCTGAATATGGCTGTCTTCATTTAAAAAAACATGATTTTTATTCATATATATATATTTTTTTTTAAATTTTTTTTTTCATTTGATTGTGCCATTAGTTATGTTTTCCAGTGTTGTTGCTTGCAACAAGTTGATTGAGCTTCAAACGTGTCATTACCGTCAGTGTCCATTGTCCGACTCTAACGGTATATTTGCCAAATTATGTTATACACTTTGATTGGGGGGTAGGCCTCCTTTCTTTCTTTATCTTCTTCCAGAACTGAT